GCTTATGGCGAGTAGCTTTATTGCCAATATTCAGAACCCCTAGGAAATGACTACTTCTCAGAAGCATCTTCCAGGTGTAGTTGGCTTTTGGGTTTTGAGTCTGTTGCAGGATCCTACCTCTTCGATTTATTGAGAATGAAAAGTTTCTGCCTACTTGGCCCAGCTGCCAGTTGTTTGGCACTGGCCTATAAGTTTTTTGTGTTTTTTTTAAGACCCTTAGGCAATCTCAGTCTTGGTATACCAGGAGGAACAAGTGATTAGCACAATTATGTCACTTTGGCTAAAGTAGTACAATCAACAAGAAGAATAGCATCAAATACAAACTAGAAAATGACATATTGTGGCCCTTAATATGGCATTTTTACCCTTATGGGAGAAGATTTAAAAGGGGTTAGACACTGCCTGCCTCACAAGCAAAAGGTCCCAACTTTGACCCCTGGTACCAAAAAAACCCCAAAAAACAAAACAAAAAAAAATGTGATTAAGGATACACAGGGATGAAATGGCCTAATAACATATTTCTCAGATTGTGTTTCCATCGCATGTTATATGACTGTATTGAAATTTAAATTAGGGAGAAGTTTGGCTTATGTGGAGTCTGCTAACTGGAGTTTTTTTCAAGATCATTATTTGTTCAATGTTGGTTTTGTGGATCTTTCTGAAACAAATCACAGCCTCTGGTGTCTTGTTGGTGCTTGAGATGCTTTTTTAAGTTATATGGAAAAATGTTTAAGTGCTTTTCAGTTTTGTTTTCGTTGAGTTCTACTGTATTTGAATATTATTGGGTTTTTTCCCCTTGCATTGTCCTTCTTTGAATGGTTTTAATTTTTTGTATGTGTGTGTTTGATAATAAAGTTATTTTAAAAATTAAAAAAATAAAATAAAAGGGGTTAGAGAGTAAAAAAAAGAACTAGAGGAAGAGGAAGAGATGAGAAGCAAGGCTGGAGGACAAAATTTAGGAAACTGGTAAAGAGGACAGGTGGGAGAGAGAAAAGGAAAAAATAAAAACAAAAAGAGAACAGAACAAAAACTAGAAACTGTATTCAAACAAGAAAAAACTAAACAAAACAAAAACAGAAAAGGAGGAAAAAAGAAAGAAAGAAGATTTTAAAACCCCAAAACATCCAATTCAAGGGGTGTCTCTGTTGTCACTGATAGCCAATATGGGCAAATAGAGTCCAAAAACAAATTTATTAATCCCAGCAAGCTAGCTGCAGCTTCATGGCAGGGTAGTGGATAATCCCAGCCAGCCTGCCCCTTTAGTTCCTCTGAAGTTCAGGCCGGTTTCTGGCTATGAGGCTGAAACTGGATTCCTTGAGCCTACAACAGTCTATGTGTCTCCTGCCATTTTGAACTCTGCTCCCTGACTTCTTGTTAACTTAAACTCAGCACCCACATTGAGGCACTGGAAACAACTAGATGGAGTCTGTCCACAGCTGTTCTGAGTTCCAAGCTTGGGCCCTCTCTAAGATGCCTACCAGCCAATCACCCTCTCCTGGGTGAGGTCTGAACCTGGATAACTCACCAGCTGCTGTAGTCTGGTTCATCTGCTGCTCTATTTCACTGGTGCGTTTTTGTGTGGAGGCCTCTGGGGTTGTCAGTAGTCACTGTGCATCACAGGTTCAGCCTGCCGTTCCCTCATGGAGAGTCCAGGCTCTGGGAGAGAGTGCTGCTTGGAACCTACCTCCTCTTTGTTAAAGTCTTTTCAGTCTCCCTGTAGACTTCAATTCTTGCCTCAGTTCTTTCCTGGGTTCCAGGGAACCACTTCCCTCCTTCTTCTCATCCTTGCATTGCTATATTCCAGTGTCAGATCACCAAATCTGGAAGACTCTCTTTCTCTGCTGCTCATCACTCTGCCATCTTCCCAGAAGTCCTGTGCTTGAGATATAGATCAGCTCATTCAAATGATCTCATACTCTCTGTGCTAAAGTATTTTATGACTAAAGTGGAAAAATTTGCCACCAAATAGCTATAAGAATTCAAGTCCATCATGTTGGGTTGTTGCACTCCAGTGTCCCTTGCATTGACCCCATTGAACAGCAAGTAGCCAGATCTAAGACATCAGCCTATATCCTACAAAACTGTAGAATAGACATGTGACTTTGGCTGGGGAATTGAAGTAGAGCATTGATGTTTTGGTTCACTACCCTGAGCTTGGCAATCAGGAAGAGGGCTTCAGAGCAGCTACCACCTCCAGCCTGTCCTTTGTATAATATGCAACTCCATGTGGACAACCTAATCAGTGACAGGAACAGCTCAGGGAAATAATGATCTTTGTTCTTTAGATTTGCAGACCTGAGAAGCATAGCTGACTAAGCAATTAGGATCAGATGGGAATCTTCTGGCCCATCTGCTGTGAGAAGGCTACCTCCAGTCTGTGATTATTCATCAACCACTATGAGAAGGCACCCATAGACCACCTATATAAACCACCTCTAACTCAGCTTCCCAGCAAGATGGGCTTCGTGACAAAGTCACCTATATTCTCATCTAGCCAGCTTTTTAAATAACATCACCTTCCTTGATTCAGTACTTCAGAGTCTTGACTTAATTAAGCTGTCATGGGGCAAGCAGCCAGACTTGGGTCAGGTAATAGTTCCAGAGCTATTTTAGGAACCAAGGACAAAAGGCCAAACATTTTAACAAAAGGTACTCCTATTGCTCTAGTCACATGACAAGGGTTATAGGAACTGTGAGCCAGGAAAGAAAACCAAAATAGCTGGGCACAGTAGTGCACACCTGTAATCCCAGCACTTGGGAGGCTGAGGAAGGAAGATTTCAAATTTGAATTCTATCCTGGCAACTCAGTGAGACCTTGTCTCAAAATTTTTTTTAAAGGACTAGGGATGTAGTTCTGTGTAGGGCCCTGAGTTCAATCCCTAGTACAAAAAATTAAATTAAAAAGAAAGCCAAATATATTGAATGAGCTTGTATTTCATAGACACTAAGCTTGTATTATCACAGACACCAATCCCATTCATGAGTGCTGCACCCTCATAACCTAATCATCTCTCTTCCTTCAAGGAATGAGAAGTTTTTGCAGTAGTCCAATCTGTGCCAGTATCAATTTCAAAAAACATAGTAAAAAAAATGGATGTGATGATGAGAAAGGAAGGAAAGAAGGGAGAAAGAAGGAAAGAGAGAGAGAGAGGGAGAAAAGAAAAGAACCAAGCTCAGCTGGGGATTTAGCTCAGTGGTTCCAGCACCTGCCTCGAAAGCACAAGGTTCTGAGTTAGATCCCCAGTATCAAAAAAAAAAGAACCAAGCTCAGCATGGTGGTGCATGTTTGTAATCCCCGCTGCTTGGGAGGCCGAGGCAGGAAGATTGCAAGTCTGGGGCTAGCCAAATCAATTTAATGAGACTCTGTCCCAAAATGAAATTTTAAAAAGGGATGGGGATGTAGCTTAATGGTATAGCACTTGCCTAGCCTAGGCTCAATCCCCACCTAAAAAAATAAAAAATGTACCGTGGTAAATTGAACTCAGTGACTCCTGGAGAGCTTGTTAAAAATAGGTTGCTGCTGCCCTGACACTGCCCCAGGAAATGTGGGGGATAGAGCCCAATAATTTACATCTCTGGCAAGAATGTAGATGACGTTGATGTTTCTTGTGTAGGACCTCATTTGGAGAACCGCTGCTTTACGGTTACTGTACTGATTTTCCTGACTTCAGAGAAGTCTTTGTTGAACCAGCAGGGGGAGACAAGTATACCACGTGTACTCTAAAAATAAATTGCCTTATACTAAAGCTCCTTGGAGTTACAATGTTTCCATGGAGACTTCTGAAATATTTTGGAGAATGTAAATTAGTATCAAGTTAAATTTCAGATATTTATATAAAATTTATTTTGGTAGGAATAAGATCTAGATTTCTGCGTGTCATGGTGGCATGGTTTAAGAACTTGGAATGTGGATTTAGACAGCTGTTACTCAAAAGCTATGTGACTTTAAGAAAGCTACTTGTCTGATCCTGTGTCCTCATCTTTAGAATGAGATCTAAATACAGTTCTATTCTATGTAAAATAGAATTGTTGGGCCGGGGATTTAGCTCAGTGGTTCTGGCGCCTGCCTCGCAAGCGCAAGGTCCCGAGTTTGATCCCAGGTACAAAAAAAAAAAAAAGAATTGTTGGAGGGCTAAAGTTCTTAGAACTTTATTTGATTATTTAAATATCATTAGCTCTTAAGACTTGAAGTAGTTACTTAGTATTTTCAGTTCTTTATCCTCTCTCAAATTTAGAGATACTCCAAATATGTTAGTATATTTGGGGTTTTTGTTTTGTTTTGTTTTGATACCGGGGATCGAACTCGGGTCCTTGCTCTTGCGCAGCAGGCGGCGAAACCACTGAGCTAAATCCCTGGCCCTGTATATTTGGTTTTTAATAACTAATACTCCTGTAATTCAGGTAAAGAATTGAAACATGTAGAATGTAATTGTTAGTAAATCCTAACTTCTCCATCCCAAGTACCTATGGTAGGGCATCTATTAACCTTCCCCACCCAGAGGGCTCAAATCTATATCTAATTCCTAGCTATGGACGCCCAAAGGTAGAGTGTTTCCAGGACTTTGAGCTTTGGACGGAGCGGAGCAGCAGGCTGTGTTGGCTTCCTCCAGGGTAGCCACTGACATGGGGTTAGGCTAGCACAGCCCAGTTGCTCAGTAGCCCTGAGGTAGAGTTAGCATCTGCTGGATGGGCGCGCATGTGTGAAGAGCAGAGGTCAGAGACTGTAGATCTGATTGGCGTGCTCCACCGAGGTCGGGCACTCGGCCAGAGCCGGCTGCTTCCAGGGAAAAGACGCTCCTGTTTGTCGCTCACCCATCGCGCTTTCATTGGCCAGCCCTTCAGGCATCAGCGAAAGGGGTATGTCCGTGAACGACAGCCCTCTACAGGGTGGGGTGATGTCACCGCAGGCGCGTCCCAGGCCGGAGGTGCGGTGGGCGGGGCCTGCCGGAAGGTGTGCTGGGGGCTGGTGGGGGCGGGGCCTGGTCGACGGTGACGTCACGGGCAGCCGTAGCCAAGAACGGCAGCGCGCGCCAGGGCTCACTCTAGCTGCGAGCCGCTCCGAGCCTCCTCTCCTTCAGCGAGCCCCGCGCTGCCGGTCATGTCCTTGAGGATCAGCCTCTCGCGTGTCCTCCGGACGCAAGTGCCATCTGTCCTGAAGAAGTCTGTCCACTCCGTGGCTGTGATAGGAGCCCCTTTCTCTCAGGGACAGGTGACAGCCGGGACACGGCACCGTGGGGCGGATTCCCCGCGCTAGAGCCCAGGGGAAGCGGCTGTGGGGCAAGCGGCCGGGAGGCAGGGAGAGAATGGGGAGGCACGGAGAGGAGGAAGTGAGGCTTTAAAGCCCCGAGGAGAGGGAGGGAAGGGAGGACGGAGGGCATCCCGCATGGGGCGAGGGCATGGGCAGCCAGAGGGCCGGTGCTGCGGCCTCTCCAAAGAGCGAGAGGTCGGTGCTACAGTTTGGGGTGATGGAGGAGACCAGGGGAGCAGGACCCGGCCAGAATCCCCGGGGGGGAAGCCATGAAGAGGTTAAGGGGAGCGAACAGGGATCGAGGCCTCAGAATCTGTTCCTCCAAAAAGAGCATTAACAAGGAATACAATTGTCTCTGGCTGCTGCATTGGCGGAGACAGGAGGGACTTTGTTCTCTCTTCGGTGAAAGAAACCTGCAGTCGTGGAGGGTTCTGGCCACAGCCAGCCACATACATGCCTGGCCACCAGCACCTAACCTAGCTCAGCCCCTCGCTGGTCCAACTCACAGCCAGGGGCTCCTGGGGCTGGGAAGTTTGATTTACATCTAGTGATGGAGTTTGTTTCTCCCTATTTCCATGCAAGTATTTGAAAAAAATGTCCGTGGAACAAATAGATGGCAGGGCTGATGTGGCAGGTTGGCAGAGGAATCTGTTAGTAACCAAGAGTAGTATTGCAAATTTCTGTATTTTTGTTAACTAGACTATCACACCCCTCCCCCCAACCATCTTCCCTCACATATCTGTTAATTTACAGAGAAAAAAAGGAGTGGAGTATGGTCCAGCTGCCATAAGAGAAGCTGGCTTGATGAAAAGGCTCTCCGGATTGGGTAAGTAGCTGGATGTTAGTTATCTGTACAGGACCTGTAACAGAGCCCTGTGGAATCTTATCTTTTATATCTTGAGCCTACAGTGTCAGCTGTGTACTTGGGAACAGTCTATCACTGATAGAGTTCTCTGCTAGATAAAATGGCTCTTCCTGGCAGATAATAAATCACTCAGGGGAAACAACCACCTAACTTTCCCGCCTCAAAGCTCTCCCGCTTACAGTTCTTCCCACTGAAATATTCAAACTTGCCAATGCATTTAAACCTCACCTCTGGCTGCAGCCAAACATCTATCTCCACTATGTCCCCCCCCCCCACCATGCCCCTTGCCCGTATAAAACCTCACCTAGCCAGCCCCTGGTCGCTGCTCTCGCCATTGTTCGAGACAGTCCGGTCCCCTAATAAAGGCCTAGCCTCAGGTGTTTATGTTTTCGGCTCATTCTCATCCTCTCCATCACATCTCCCAGTCTAGGATTCCATCTGCAGACTAAGATCAAGGAATCTTCAGGGAAAGTCCTGCTACAATAGAGTGTGTGGGAGGCAAGGAGGAGGTTCGAGGCCTGGGCTGGAGTAAGCAGCTAGTGGATGGAAAGTGGTAGTAAGAATGCTAGCCTGGCTTTAATTGCACAGTGTTTCCCACTAGAATTCTACCTTTCCTCACTCAGTCTAGTGATGCTTATGAGTCATCAGTCTCACCAGTTTCCCCTCTTAAATCATTTCCTCCCTAGGGTGAATGGTTTTGTGTTACTGTAAGCAGGGTTTACTTCTGTGTTTTTCAAACCTACCTGATTGTGAAAGTCACCTGGGTTGTTAAACATAGTGTTCCTAGACTTCTCCAAGGAAAAGTTTGGTTCCTTGGTTCTGAGGTAAGACCTAGATATGCACATTTTTAGCATTCTAGGTAATCAGTCTTAGAAGTTGCAGTCCTATAATTAAGATACTACTTTAAGTTTTTAGGACTAGAGAAGAAATCTGACTGAAAGATCATGCCAGCTCTGTCTATAGTAATACAAATCTCTTAGTACCAGGGCACAAAATTTCAATCCCTTATATAGAAGGAAGGTTCTTCCCTATATCTAACCATGTTTCTAGCTACTGTTCAAGGTCATTTTTTCCATTCTTGTTAGAAGCATTTTATGTATCTTTTTTGGTACTGTACATGCAAAATGTATGGCAGCAGGGAGATCTGGAAATAGGAACACTGAATCAGAGTGAATTACTCTTATTCTGAAATTTCTGCTGATGGTGAGCCCATTCCAAGGGTCAGTTGTCTCCTTCTCAAAATTTTAAGAATAATGAATTCACTGAAATCACCTGACATTGAGGCTTCCTTCATATGTCTTCACCTATATGTGGATATTGGTGACTTGGATTGAATACTCAAACTTTTCTCTGTTCAATAATTTGCAGTTCCTTCTTCAGTAGGGTCTCTTTCCTAGTAATTGTAAAAGTCCAAGTTCACTAAAGGTGAAAGATGAACTGCTAAGATTTGGTCTTCATTATTTGGTGCTGGGAATCACACCTCCAGCTGGCAAGGCAAGTGCTCCGCCACTGAGCTATAGCCCCACCCCTGCTGCTTTTAGTGTGTCAGAAGGTACCTGATGGGAAGAGGTTTTAATTCCTGCTTATTAATGAAGATCTCATCCCTTAAAATACCTTGTACATAGTCTACCTTTTTAAAGAAATCACTTTACACTGAAGACAACAATCTCTGGTAATCACTATTTTTAAATACTGGATAAATCTCTACAACCCATCTGATGAACTGGACCAATTCTACCTTAAGAGATTCCTGACAAGTAGAAGTCTGGGCCTCTTTAAGAGGAGATCTTTATATTAAACATGCAGTCCAGGCTGCCGAGGGAGGGGAGGTGAAGGGTGCGCCTTCAACAGCTTCTCTTGATTTATAGAACTCCTTTCCTGCTACAGCTATTAGTAATTTTCCAGTTAAACCCAGGGGAAGCCCTTCTTTAAATATGATTCCTTCTACTTTTTCCTCTTTAAACTCCCAAGCTACAATGATGGTAAAGCTTCAGTTTATTTTGTCTTGCATTTTTTTCAAATATTTTTAGTTATATCCTTATCCCGTAGCTGATTGTAGCCTGATCCTGTAGCCCGCTCTCACCAGCTGTTTGAAATAGAATCTCATTGGGCATTAATAATGTGACTCTCAGCAGATTTCCAGCATGTGGTTTTGGCTGATCTCCTGGCATATGTTGGAGAAAAGTACCAAGAGAAGTTTGAATTGCTATATTCCTAAAGAGTACCAAAATACCTAAGTGCTTTTAGCACTTTTAAATTAGTGTGGGTTAAATTTACTGGGTGAGAAGCCTTTGGATATGTAACTTTCAGGAATCCCTTTGTTCTTTGCCTTTTGCTCTGAGGTCACAGGCTGCCCATGTTTCCCTGGCATCAGTTAAACTTCCTGTTTTCTTGGATGAGTATCTTTGACTTAATGTCTGGACTTGTTTTTCCATTTCCCTGGGCTTGGTAAGGACACTTCAGTGGTTCCCACAGGCAGTTTAGTACATAAAAGGGGGCCTGACAAAAATGAAGAGGCATTGCTCCAGCATGGCTCAGAAGCAGTCTATCTACTCCTGATTCTAATTAGCGCTGATAGTCACAGCAATTTGTCCTTTTCTCATGAGAAGTGGATGTAAGCCATGATTAACACTTGCAGGCCTCTATTATTGTATTTATGGTTGTTTATTGTTATTTTTTGCTTCTGGTGCTGGGGATCACACCTATGCTAGACAAGCACTCTTAGCACTGAACTACACCCCCACTCCTTTAAAAAATTTTATTTTGAGATAGTCTAAGTTGCCCAGGCTGGCCTCAAATGTAATGATCCTTCTAGCTCAGCCTCCTGCACAGGTGGGATAACAGGCATGCACCACAACCCTGGTGTAATTTTGGTAATTTGACTCAGCTGTAGTAATGAGGCCACAGTAACCAAGACAGCTGTGTAAATTAACTTGCCTCTGTGACCAGGCCATAGATCCTGGAGTTCAGGAAACCATTTGGGTGTTATTGTGGTTCCTCTCAACTGGGCTATTGAACACTTGGGAGGGTGAGGCAGGAGGATTGCAAGTTCAAGTCCTGCCTGGGCAACTTAGAAAGACTATGTCTCAAAAAAGGGTTAGGATTGTAGCTCAGTGTGAAGGCCCTGGGTTTGATTCACAGTACTGCTCTGCACCCCAATCAACTGAGTTAATGACATTTATTCCTTCTGATCCACTTGGCATGTGCAGGTAGGAATCTCTGGTTGAAACCAGATGAGACCCAAGAATCTGGTTTGCCTCCAAAGGAACTGTTGATAGATGGCTTGAGATAGTTGTTTAAACACAAGGATCTTAAGCTGAGAGCTGTTCATTTGGAACTGATTGATATGTGAGTTCAGGCATCTGTATTTGCTTTCAGAAGTTGGAAGAGAATATTAGGACTTGTAAGTGGAGTGGGGTGATGGTGATGCTTTAGCCTGGTTTCCCTCCCAGAGTTCCATGGAACCTACCTTGAGCAAGCTTTCTGATTTGTCAGCTTTTACTGTATTTTGCTGACAGCTTTATTCCTGGAATCGTCTCCTCTGTTGCCCAGCACTCCACTCTCCTGGAAGCAGGTTTCCACCAAATTGTTCTTCCTGGATCTCTTGCAAGGGGATCCTCTTCTTCCAGCCCTCAAACATTCCTGCATGCATGGATCTTCCTGGATGCTTTCTTCTTACAGATGCCCAAAGGGCCATCCTCCTCTCCCTGTACTCTTACAACTCTGCCCATTCTAGAAAGCCTTGCTCTTTCTCACCATTTTTCTCTAAAAAAAACCTTTTCTCACTCTCAGATGTCTCAAACCCATCATATTCAAAATGAAGTTTATCTTCTCCCTCAGACCTGCTTTTGCTGCTGTTTTTTCATTGTCTACTTCACATTGTCACCCACTATCTACTAAACTCGACAATTCAAAGATCATCGCAGTTTTCTTCTGTTTTCTTCTTCACACCTGTTGACCACTAAGTCTTGTTGACTATACTTCCTAAATGACTAGATTTCATCTACATAATGATACTGCTCAATGTTTGTTCCTCTTCTCACACATGGTATAGCATTCAAATGATATCACTTGAACCATTTTTTGCCTTCTTCAATTTACTTTCTTCATTACCACCAGAGTGACCTTTCCAGAATTCTAATCTGTGTTTCTCCTTTGTTAAAGTCTTCCCAAGGCTAGCTGGCATTCTTCCTTTTTTTTTTTTTTTTTTTGTAGTGCTGCTGGGGATCAAACCCCGGATCTTATACATGCCAAATAAGTGCTCTACCACCGAGCTAAAACCCTAGCCCCATGACTTTCTTTTAAGTTCACCCATGCTTCTCAGACTTGTCATTCATATACTATCTTTCTGCCATATGTATTTTCTGCTTGTACATATTTATTTTGGTATTCTTCTTTATATTGACTTTTATTTATTTTTTGTTTTATTTTTTGTTTGAGACAGGGTCTTGCTTTGTAGTACAGGCTGGTCTCGAACTCCTGAAGGTCCTCTTGCCTTAGCCTCCTGACTGCTAAGATGACAGGTGTACATCACCACATCAGGCTGCTTTTGCTTTTTTAAAAGCAAGGTTGTTTTTTATTTTGAGACAGGGTCTTGCAGGTGGACTTAAACTTTTGATCTTCCTGCCTCGTGGGTGTGTGCCACCACACCCAGCTTTTTGCTTTTTTTTTCTTTAGTACTTGACACAATCTTCCTGTAAGTTAATATACTCATTAGGTTAGTTCCTTTGACCTGTAATCTTAGTTCCTTTGCAGTTCAGCAGCTCTCTGTTCTCTTGATGCTTTGATTTTTGAACCATTATAATCCTTACAGTGATTTCTAAAAATAACTTATCTGGAAGAAGAGTATTTCCAGGGGCGGGGCAGTAAGTGCAAAGATCCTAAGACAGAAAGGTATCTGGAATGTTCAGGGAACAAAAGGCCATTCCTGAGGCAGCATTGCCATGTGTGAAGGGGTAGATTTTCTATTCTCTTATCTCTAATTTTGTTTAAAGAAAAGTCAGAAATCTGCACTTTATGGGACATCTGAGTTATTTCAAAACACTATATAGTAACATCAGTGAAAATGGTGGCGTAGGACCTCCAAAAGTTCTTTTACATAAAAGGAAACAAGAGCATTGGCAACACTTGCCAGATCAACTTTTTCAAAACTCTAGAAATTAATCGAGACTTGCAGCAATCTAGGGAGAATTTCATAAGAAAAACATCCGAGTCTCAGCAAGAACAGTAAGCTGTGTGGCATTTTAACTTACCCTATCCCCATAATGCCCTTTCCTAGCTCAATGGGAGTGAAAACTAGGAGGTAGGCAGACACTGGAGTGTCCAGAGCAAGGTTGAGGCTCCTTCAGAGGCCATTCCAAGAGAATTTGTCATTTGAAGGCCCCACTTGCAAGGCTCTCTTTATTTGACCAATATAAGTCAATAGGGAAAGAACAGTCTTTCAAAAATGGTACCAGGACAACTGAAAGTCCAGATACAAAAAGTAAATTAGGGCCAGGCATGGTGGCACATGCCTGTAGTCCCAGCACTTGGGAGGCCAAGGCAGAGAATCACTGTAAGTCTGAGGCCACCCTGTGCTACATAGTGAGCTCAAGGCCAGCTACATGGTGAGATTCTGAACTACATCGTGAGACCCTTAACGTGAGACTTAAAAAAAAAAAAAAAAAGTGTGGATTAGGACCCTTACCCTCATAGCATAATATAAAAATTAACTCAGGCCAGGCCTGGTGGTACATGTCTATAATCCTAGCTACTTGGGAGGCTGAGGATCACAAGTTCAAGACCAGACTGGATAACTTAGTGAGAGCCTGTCACAAAATTAGAAAAAAACCTCAAAGGACTGAGAAATGTAGCTTAATAGTTCAGACCCTAGGTTCAATCCCCAGTACCATTAAAAATAAATAATTTAGCTGGGGATTTAGCTCAGTGGTTCCGCCGCCTTCCTTGCAAGTACAAGTTCCAAGTTTGATCCCCAATACCAAAAAATAAATAATAAACCCAAAATTTAGAATGGACCAAAGTTCTAAATGTGTTGCTAAACCTATAAAACTTTTAGAAGAAAACATAGGAATGAATTTTTTAGACCTTGGAAGGCAGTAGTTTCTTAGCTATCCCATCCAAGTCACTAAAATCACAATCGCCAAAAATAAAAATAGATAAATTAGACTTCATTAAAATTAAAAACATTTGTGTTTTAAAGGGCAGTATCAAGAAAGTGAAAACACAGCCAACAGAGTGGGAGAAAATATTTGCAAATGCTATATCTGATGAAATTGCATTGTCCAGAATATACAAATAACTGTAATAACTGAATGATAAAATCTAGCAATAGATTGAATTGACATTTCTCCAAAGAAGCACATTAATGTACACTAATAAACATATTAGTCATTTGGGAAATGCAAATGAAAACTACAATGAAATACCATCTCATACCCATGAGCTTGCTATAATAAAAAAAGATAAGCAATAGTGTTGGTAAGGATGTAGAGATTGGAACTGTTCACCACTGTTGGGAATGTAAAATAGTGCAGCCACTTTAGAATAGTTTTCCAGGTCCTCAGAAAGTGAAACATACAATTATCATGTGATTGGACAATTCCGCTCCCAACAGAATTGAGAACATGTGTCCACACATAAAGCTTATATACAGATGGTCACAGCAGTATTATTTATACTATGTCAAGAGGTACAAACAACTGAATGTCCATCAACTGATAAATGGATAAAAAAATGATATATTCATGGTGTATTCAGCCATAAAAGGAATAAAGCACTAACTCATACAACAATATGGAGGAGGCTTGAAAACATTATACTAAATGAAAGAAGGTAGACAACAAACGGCCATGTGTATAACTCCACATATATGAAATGTCTAGAATGGGCAAATCTATAGAGAAAATAGATTAGTGGTTCCCTGAGGGCTGAGAAGCATCCAGAGTGACAGCTAATGGGTACAGGTTTCTTTTAGAGTTAGTGTTGATGGTTGTACAACTTTGTGAATGTATTAAAAACCACTGAATTGTAAATTCTAAAAGGGTGGATTTTATGATAAATATATTTCAATAATAACCAAAAAGTGTATAGACATTTATGATCGGTAAGAAATATGAGTTCTGAGTTGCTGATACTGGTCTATTTTGTAACTTGGATATTACAGTATTTTGGTTTGCAACAATTTATTTTACTTTATATGTTTTCTTATATTGCAAAATAGAACATACAATGAAAACTCTTGATTTTACAAATCATGTCTATTGACAGATCTGGATCTTAGGCTAATTTTCAGCCTCTAGTTTGAGGCACTGAAAAAATATGAAACTAGCTTCTCTTAGATGCTATTTGAACAGCATTCTTATATATTTAGGACAAAAATTGGTTGATAGGTTGGCTCAATAGCAAAGAGCAAATATCAGTCTTTTAAAAATTTTTATTAGTACATTTGTAGTACATAATGATTACATTCATTACATGTACATAACACATCTGAATTCTTTTTTCACTCCCCACCCATCCTTCCCACCTCCCTTCATCTCTTGATCCCCTTCCCTTTTGCAGAAAATCTTGTTTTCTATTTTCTGTCATTTATTTTGCTCTTTATTTATATTTTGGGTTTCTCAGTCCTTTTTTTGGTACTGGGGATAGAATTCTGGACCTTGTGCTTGCAAGGCAGGCAGCAGAACCACTGAGGTAAATCCCTGGCCCCTCTCGGTCTTGTTTTTGAAAGGACTGTAGGGGGTGTATGACTGTCTTAGTTACTTTTCTCATTGCTGAGATAAAATACCTGACACCCACAAGTTAAAGGGGGAAAGGTTTATTTCAGCTCACAGTTTATAGAGGTTTCAGTTCATAGTCAGCTGGCTCCAAGGCAGGGTTGCATGGCAGAAGGGCATCACAGAGGAAAAACAGTCCATGGTGGGGCAGGCAGGAGGCAGCAAGCAGCAAGGCTTCCTTTTTCTTTTGGATGGTGCCACCCATACCCAGGGTGGGCCTGCCCATTATCCATACACAGAACTTTGATAAACCAATTAGTGGACTAATCCAGTAGCATACAACCTTAATCCCAGTATCACACACCCATGATCCAGTCACCTCCCAAAACCCCCACCTGTGAGCACTTGAGGCTTTGAGGGGACATCTAGATAACAAGCTTTAACATAATCCTATCTGGAATGTCACTGGGTTTTTGTTGTTTTTTTTCCCAGAGTGTAATGTCACTGTTAATGACTCATTTCTTCTTTTGGGTAGGGGGGAGTTGAGACAGTCTCACTTTGTAGTTCGGGCTGGCCTTGAACTCACTATGTAGCCCAGGCTGCCCTCTAACTCACCATGATCCTCCTGCCTCAGCTTCCCAAGTACTGGGATTTACAGGCATGTGCCACCATGCCTTGCAATGACTTACTTCTTTGGTTTCAACTTTGTGCTTTCCAGGCCTCCTTAATATTGCAAATTTCTTTTAGAATGTGAATACATTATGAGTAATTTGCTGATGCTGTAGTAAAAGCTTATATCACCAATGGTGTACTTGTATATCATGAATCTATAATAGACACTATTGGGATTTGTCAGATTTTGTTCTTTCCCATTTATAAAGAAAGGCAGCAAAGAATTTATTTACACTTTTTTCAAAATCAGATATTTAACATTTACCATGTTCTAAAAACTATGCTAGACATTTGCTACTATCCCATTTCATAAAATTTGTAAAAAGCAAATTATGACCACCTCAAACCTATTAAGATAGCTACCATCAAAAATAAAACATAAAACAGAAGTTGTGAGAAATTGGAACATTGTTCTGATCTGTAAAAAAAGCTGAAAATAATAAAGTATAGTTTGTTGTCCTCTGTGTTTTCTGTGAACTGGTAATTGGATCTAGATCTTTGGTCAGATACTAAGTGTTTTTTTTAAGCAGTTCTGCTTTGTAAGTGACATTGTATACCTCCATTCAAAATGATTTTAGCCATTAACTATTGCTGAAACCAACCCAGTAACTTGTTTCCACATATTTTATCACTTCAGTGCAACACATCTAAAACAACTTTTCTGTCCTCTTTTCTACTTCCTACCCTGTTTTCATTTTACTTTTCTGAAATGGAGTCTTACTGTGTTGCCCAGGCTAACTATGAACTCATGGACTCAAAGGATCCTCCTGCCACAGCTTCCTGAGTAGCTGGGAGGGCAGGTGTGCCAATCTCAGCTGAGCAGATAACAGAGCCAGGACACTGGACTCTGCTGCTGGAGTGTTACCTGTTCTCTCCCACTGCTTTATCTCCCCATGCTCTGGGTCAGCCCATCCTCCACACTGCTATCTGAACTCTAGGTCTAAAACGTAGATTTGATTTGTCACTTCCTAACCTGAAGACCCTAACTCCACTTTGTGTAGCTGCTGAACCCTGTCTCCTCCTCCTGGCTCATCTCTCTAGTTCTCCCCATGCACCCTGGGCTCTGAGAAGTTGGGAATTATTCTATTGGGCTGAAAGTATTGCATGCCTCTTCCATAAGTACTTTCTTCTCCCTTTTTATTCCTGGCCAACACCTTCAAGGCTCAGATACTGCCTCTTTTGAGATGTCCTCCTGGCCCATAGGTTCTCCACTCGTCTCTGCCCTCTTCCATCCTGTGCAAAGCTGTGCCATAGCAGCTTTGACACCTGGCCCAAACTGCCACTTTCCCTGCCTTTCCCTTTTCTCAGACTTTGCTTAAAGGCTGCAGCCTCCTGAGTGGCTGGGATTAGAGGTGTGTGACACCATACCTGGTTGAAATTTTTTTTGAGACAGGGACTGTGTAGCCCAGGCTGGCCTCGAACTCGAGGCGATCCTCCTGCCTCAGTCTCCTGAGTGCTGGGATTACAGGTATGCACACCCACGTCCAATGGTTCAGGATGTGAGTAGATAATGATGATGGTTTTCTTTGAGTAAGGCTGACTTCTGGTTGGACAGGTGCTGCTTTATTGCTTTATTTTATTTTTTTTTCTTGTTTTAGATTGTTTCAATACAAAGAAATATTTGAGGTGATAGACATGGTAATTACAGAAAGTATACATGTATTGATACTTCACATTGCACTCCATATATGTGTACAATTAACTATCAACTTAGAAATGAAAAAGTAAATTAACACAAAGGGAAAATCGAGGTCCTCCAGACCTGGAGGCCCCATGCCCGGCTTGTACATGCTGAAGGCAGTAAAAGGAGAGCAAACCTCTGAAACTGCTGCCAACAGGTGTCCTGGTTTGCTGGCTGCAGAAGTGCAGAACTAGCTGGTAGGCCAGCAGCTGTCTAGGTACAGGGGAGGAACTGAGCACCTGTTCTCACTAGAACAGGTGGCTTCAGCTTGACTGCTCAGCCTTGGAAAGAATTGTTTTAATTTCATGCTTGTTTTTTATACAGAACCAATACCTCATCCACAGGATATGGAGACTGCCTAGGTCTGTGCCAGAGACGTCTATGTGTGAGGCTTCCCCTTTTTTCTCCTCTGTCTGAGGTGCTTTGTTCTATTGGTTTTCCCTGAAAAATCCTTGACAAACCTACCTTGGAAGAGTGGGCCTTCACAAAGAAGCCCTCCCTCAGGGAGTTGTGCCAAGGCTGAGGTGCTAAGGGTCTCAGAAACCAGGCTCAACACTTTTCCTTAAAAGAATCTCTGCTTTCCAGCACATGGAATGTGTTGGCTGCACTGATCTACCCCAGGCCAGCCCTGAGAGATGAATTTACACAGATAACCCCATAAGAAGTTAATGGAGTGTAATCTTGGCTACTCAACGTTAAATTTGGATGTCCTGCAGGTGAGGAAGTGCAGTGGTACTGTATTCCTTTTAACTCCACTTTCTCTCAAAAAAGAAAAGAATAGCAGTGGCTTCTCCTAAATGTCACAGGGCGAAGTGGGGCCAGGGGGGGCAGAACCACATTTAAGACTCTGGGCTCTATGTGTGTCCTTGGGGATTTAGGGTCCATTCACCTCATAGAATCTTGAAAGGTATTAAATCATAATCCAAAATAGTGATGAAACAAACTAGCAGGGTTTTGGAACTGGGTATTATCAGCACACAGTTGCCTCTCTCAGTTGATCAAGGGTAAAGTCATTTGAATCCATGGATGATTTCCCTCAGGGGAACCTATGATTCCCTGAAATTGTCTGCAGTATTCTGTGTGCATTTTTCTAGGAGTTTGCAACTATCATCAAATTTCCTAAGGGGTTTCTGACCTCAAAAGGTTGTTCTGGATGGTGAGCCTTTTGGGGCCAAGGACCTTCTCTTGCTGTATGTTGCAGGCATGCAGCACAGGAACTCTGTCCAGTGTTCAGCGAATGGAGGCCAAAGGAATGGATGAGCAGAGTCACTTAAGATCCTTTCTTCTGAACACTGAGTTGTTTTGAAATTGCTTAAGCTTGAAGTTTTGAGCATCAATGTAGGACTCCTTTGTTTCTATTATTATATATGAGAATTGCTTAAACTGGCAGAGTTTCTCCTATATTACATGAAACCTGTTTACTTGTTAGGAAGATGTTGTAACCACTGTTGCCAGACTTTCAGCACCCCAGCTCAGCTGATGGTTTCTTCTGTTCCCATTACCTCTGCACACTCTCTCATGGGCATCTAAGTTTTAAGTTAGGAGGAGTTCAACCATAATACTACCCAGCCTTCTCCCTTGTGATTTTTCCATATTAGGCAGCAGACAGATGACCATCTGTGAGCACAGAACATAGTGGAGATTTGAAACCACCTTCTGCTGATCCAGGCTCTGTGAGAGAAGACTCGGGCTTTCTCTGCTTGAAGGACGCTAAACAATGGTTTTCACAAACCATGTAGAGGAGAACTAGTACAAAGGACCTTGCAGGCAGCCAGGAGGCTCTGACCTACAGTAGGCAGAAGGGCTTTATTCCTTTATTATCCAAAATAGCAGTTTAGAGGCAGCACCAAAAGGACTGCAATGGCTGGCTTAAATAATTTAACCTTTTAATTAACTTTATTAATTACCAAACTTCTGATACTCAGGGTGTATAAATTAGGTGTGATGATATAGGGCATATGATATATGGACCTCCAAATAATATAAGGGAAGTATTATAATTCCCGACCCGCTAGATGTCTGACGTGGAGTTTGTGTTCTCTAAAATTGAATGAATTCTAGAAACAATAGAGTTTAAGACTAGGAAGAATTTATTAGAGAAAGACAGCTTCTGTCTGAGACAGAAGAGGACCAGAAAGTGGGTTGCCCCCGGACCCCACTTCTCAAGGGAGTTTAATAGAGCAAAGCCACAAGGTGAGGTGGGACAAACTATAGTCAACTAATAAGATTACAAGTAAAGTCCCTTAGGTAATATTGATCCAGTGGAAAAATCACAAGGTAGGTACAAAGTGGGACAAAACTGTGGTCAACCAATAAAACTATGTGTATAGTCACTTAGGTAATATTGATTAAATGCGATCAAATGGAAGGAATGGGTCAGGGACCTTTCCTGGAAAGGATGGGTTAAGGTTTTGGTCCTGCACCCAAGTGACTGATATCTATTTAGAATATCAGTCACTGCTGCACATCCTTTGGGGAAGTATGTGGTTGCAGTTAATTCTGTCTTGAAGCCTGGCCTTCAAATGAATGCACCTGAAGCCACAGTTGTCTCCTGCACTGGCTTGAGGGCCCAGGACTGTCTGATTGCCTATAATATTTCTAACTTAACTTAGCTGTCTACAATAACAGCACTTGGATTTGAAGAGATGATGCTGTCTTTTGGCTTCCTCTCCCACTGCGAAAGAGAACAAACTGAATAGCTGAAGAAATAGGAAACTTTCCTGTGTGACCCAAGCAATGTCACAGCAGGGTGTGGCATTGTGGTTAGGGCTTTCGGAGAATTGGTGTCCCAAGGATTTTCTTCCCTCTGTAGTTTTTCATGGGGAATGTAGAAAGCTGGACTTTCAAGGAGCCATTTCAGTGAGAAACTAGTAGGCCTGTGTTGTTCTTCACAAAAACTTAACAAAATGATGCGGTCATGTTACAAATGGGTTTGGGAACGTGCTAGGTCACCACATCTGTTTTGAGGAAAAGAAAGAGTGGGGAGAAAAACCACAATGCCTCTTCTAGTTGTAACCTGTGACCGCTATGCACAGGTTTCTTCCTTATCTCATTAACCCTCGTTATTCATTTAAATGATTATGTACTGTAAAACATGTTTAAAAACTGAACTTGGTTAGAAATCTTGACTCTTCTAGGAAGTGAAAGGACAGGGATTCTTTCTGCTGCACCCAGTGTAGCCCTTGGCTGAGGCCATAGGTGTGGACTCTGCTTTCTGCCCAGAGTGGCATGGAATGTAGTCTGTCTAGTTTGAGGTTTCTGGGCAGACACATCAGGACACTGGCCTGGGCTCTGGGACATGGAGATACACATTAGGGTTGCTAACTCGAAAAGCTGTAGTCATATGCCTGATTTGTCTCCCTTTAAGCCCTTTTTGGAACAAGATCAAGCATAAGAATTTTTATGAATCACAAGCTGTAGAGAGTGTACTTTTTATCCCCAAGGATTTTTGCTGTCTCTTCCTCTAGATACTGGAAAAAGTCAAGTGTTGTCAATATGTTAACAATAGCAGATCTTTTGTTTTCTGAGAAGCCCAGCAGTCTTACTCTGAATGAGGGAAAGTGGTCACGTGACTTACAAAGCCAGAGCCACTTTGACCTCCACCTCTGCCCTCAGTGAAACCAGGCTGCTGGGGTTTGATCAGCTAAGCCTGTGGGAAAAGCCTGAGCTGGCTGTCCCTGGGGATCCAGAGGTGATCAGAGGGTGGACATGAATTTGTTCAGAGGGGCATGTTATTAGGCCTAATGCCATCTGTTCTCCTTAGAGAAGGGCAGATGTAACCAGAGAAGCAATTAGCCAGAGACACATAAGCATATAGCTGTGTAGTATCTGTTACTGTCTTGAGCTTTTTTTTTTTTCCTTTTTGCAGTGCTAGAGAACGAACCCACAATCTCATGTATGCTAGGCAAGCATTAAGCTAACTTTTCGAATGTGTTTTATATTTAGGTGTTTTTAGCCAAGGATCCTGTTCATACAAAGGCATCTGTTAATACAGTGTTTATATCATTTGATCCTGAGGCTACCCTGGTTTATCGTAGATGCACAGGACTGAAGCCACAGGCCTGGATTCCCAGGATCACCTTCCATCCTGGAGCCTGCAGCAGCAGGGCCCCCCCCCCCCCCCCCAATTCATGGTCTTCTCTCCCTTGGAGAATACTTGCCTGGTTCTGAGGCAACAGAAGAGCAGATGGGGAGGAAAGAGATGGGGTGGAAGGCTGGTTGTGTAGTCTCTGGAACTATGATGGAAGTAAACCAGAACAGATGTCTACCTGTGTGATATTCTTTCCATCCCTTTCTATTAGGGATTGAACTTAAGGCCTGGTACATGCTAGGCCAGTACTCTACCACTGAGCTATCTCCCCGCTCCCCCAAGCCCTTTTGTATTTTCTTTTGAGACAAGGTCTTGCTGTAAGTTGCCCAGGCTTCCCTTGAACTTGCTATCCTTTTGCCTCAGCTCAGTCACCTGGCTGGACGGTATACTTTTTTGTCCTAATGTCTCTAATTTATTTTGGAGCAAAGAGCTGACATTTAGATATCCGAAAACACATGGCTCTTGAGAGTGTACAGCCTCTGGGAGCTAAATGTATTAGATGAAACTCAGATCTCTGTCTTTTATAGGTGGTAAATTAGTTTGCTGTCTCTTCAAAGGATTACTCAAATGACACTTTAAGGGCTAAGTGAGATTCTGCTTATTCCAACTCATCTGAATTAACCCTGGCAATTAAAAAATTCAAGTTTAGACCTTCAGTAACACTGCAACTTTGTAGATTTTTGTTTTTGTTTCTTGAGACAGGGACTCACTATGTAGTTCAGGCTGGCCTTGAATTCATGGTTACCCTCCTACCTCAGCCTCTCAAGCTCTGGGATTAGATATGTGCCACCACACCCCACCTTGCAACTTTGTTTTTAATAAACTGGCCTAGGTACAGTTGAGGTCTAAGACTTAGCAGGCACATCTCTTTAAAATACCTGGAATTCCTTTTGTCTGGGGCTCAATCTCTCACGTTGAGTATTTGTGTTTGTAACTTCCTATCCTCTGAGCACCAAATGCAGTTAAGAGTATTTGGTTTTCTCTAGGTTTTACTGACTTGTGGTCCTGACAAGTCATAAACATTTCCATTCTATTTAGGGCCAGTGTGAAAAACCTGCACACTAAGAGGCCTCCAGCTTTTCTTTCTGTCCTGCCAATGGGCATATATGGCTTGGTGGACTTTCCTGTGTCATTCCACTTAGCCCATCCCTCTTGACTTGCAGGGAGCTGTGGTAGCACATGAATTCTCCATAAGGAGAATAGATCTTTATGCTATTTTTAAAAAAAATACCTCACTTGTAACGTTGTCTTATGTAAGCCTACAACCTGGCTTGCTCTGAACAGTTGAAACTATTCAGCCTTACTCCGTTTCTTCCCCTGCAATGTGTGATTATCCATACCTGCAGAGGATGGAGATTAGCAGACCTCTGTAAAGCCTAGTGTGGTATGAGTGGAAGTTGACAATAGGGTTCTACTTCCTTCTTTCCTGTCACTGGCTTCCCTTGAGGGTTCACTCACTAGTCTGAAAATAGATGTGCTGGCCATAGATATTGCTGAGGATCAGGTAAGGCTGTTATGACTTGCCTCGCTGCTGGTTGCATCATCCTGTGGATGTGTTTGTGTTCTTTTTCCACTCTAACACACCCTGAAGAGGCTTATCAAGGCCAAAAGTAACATCTGGGCCCAAAAGATCAGAGTAGAATCCATGATATTTTATTACCAGCACTTGAGAAAAGCAAAGAGGCTGTCCAGTGTATAAAGAGCAAGTGAAAAGGGAGAGCCCTTTCACATTGGTTCCAAATGTTTGAAATGAGAGCTTCCTTGAAGTTTTGGGCTCATCTTGTCCTACAATGCCCTCTTAGAAAAAAAGAGTAGCAATGAAACACTTAAGTCTTACCTGACTAGACTTGCAGATGAGTTGTCCCTTCAGTATTAGAATGTTTGCTCCTCTCTCCCTCTCTGATAGGTTCTTCCTATATAGTATAAATTGGCCTTGAACTTGCTATGCAGCCTAGGATGGCCTAAACTTGTGCTTCTGCTTCAGCCTAAGAACTGGGATTACAGGTGTAGACCACCAGGTCTGGCTCTGCTCTATTACTAGTAATTACTGCTATATTAATAGTATCACTATTACTGTAAGATTCTTTAAAAAATAATGAGAACATTCCTTATGCCAAATGAACTACAATATGCCACAGCACTCTGATAGCTTTAATATTAACTCAGTTTATTTTGTTCTTACAAAAAATTTAAGTTCCTATCAATCTCTGCTCCTGTAGGTTACAATTCATGTTCTCTGCTACCTTGTATCACATTGCTCCAGTATTCAGATTTCTTATAGTTATTACACTGGTCAGTTGTTGTCAATGGCATGTTTATTTCTGATTTCTGGCCCTTGTTCACCCTTTAGAAACCAATTCTGGGTTCTACTGTCCTAGTCCTTTGGGTATCTTTATTTTCTTTGTACAGTGGGCATTAGAGGAGAGAGCTTTCAAGAGGCTACCTCAGGATGGTATATTTGCTGATTCAACTCAATGAACTAGAATAACTGAAAACAATATAAATTGGGAATCATAGAGCAAAATAAGCTTTAGTATTTTGAGTTCTTAATCACTTAAAGGTTATGGCAGTAGAATTTTTTAAAAAAGTGATTCATTGTGGCAGAGATTATTAGTTGTCCACCATAATCCATGTTCATTTTCTGGATGCAAGCTAGACCTGCATTTATTGGTCAGTGCCACCTGGGCAAGAGTGATACGCCACTTCTAAGCCAGGGCCTTTACAGAGCTGGTCTGCCTTCTCAGTGCTTTTTTCCCTCCTGCTGCCTTAAACTTGGGGGGTGGGGGCTAGCTTTAGCCATATAGATGGCAAAGCCCTAGGTAAGGTAGAGCCACAAGCCAGGTCTCTGAATCAGACACAGAAAGCCACCTGCTGACGTGGAACGAGCAAGAAACAACTCGACTGTATTTGGGCCATTGTTATTGGGGGGGGCAATGTAACATCAATTCAGCCTACTTTACCTAATAATTTCTTTAAACTTTTTTTTTCAGTATTAGGGATTAAATCCAGGGGCTCACACATACTAGGCATGTGCTCTACTACTGAGCTGTATCCCCCCAGCTCCCTAATAATCTTATTTAAAAGACTATCATGTGCTACGTTTCTGTGTAAAAGATGTAAAAATATGGTGTTTGGGCCTGAGGAGTACAGTGGGGCACTCTACCATTATACACTTTCTTATTCATTTTGACAAAGAATTTCCGTGGCCAGTAAGGGAAGGGGGGAAAAGACAGAAGAGTGCTGGTGCAGACTTCACTTATAGGGGTCCTTCCTTGACTGCCTCAGTCCTCAATGTGCTTCCCCTGACTCCTGTAGTACTGACTGTCCCTAGTCCTTACCTGGCACTTACATATGGAAAGAGCAGGGCAGAATTGGGAGTCTTAGGGTAGGCCATTCAGGTGGGGCCTCTCAAGGTCTTAATTCCTTCAGGGTTTGGCTTTGAGCTTTTTGGATCCAGAAACACAAGACTTGCTGTGTACAGGAGCTCTTCAGGCTTTCACACTGAGACACTCATGCTGACCATGCTGCATAAACCAGAATGTCCATGCAGGATTATGCTGAGTGACAGTCCTGCCAGTACAGTCTGGAATTCCCTGTTAGTATGTGACGCATTTGGGAAACAGAGTAACCAGAAGGCTGTCTGGTGAGAAGGAATCTGAGTAGTTGGGTAATCGGGGGAGTCTAGCATCCAGGCTGTGCATCTGGTAAATCACCTCACAGTAGAGTTACACATTCAATGACCAAAATCTTTCTATGAAATTTAGTCTCTCTTCCTTGGAGAGCATGCCGTAAAACTGGAGAGGACTGCTGTTAAGATTTCCAAATTCTAAGGCTTGTGCAGCTTTTTTTCCCTCCTGATTAGTAAATACAAGTGAGCAGGGCACTGTTTTCTGTTACGCTTATCTGAGTCCACATCCTGGTTTCTGTGATTGGACTTGAATGTTCTCCAAGCTGTCACTTATCCACTGGAACTTTAATTTCTCTGTATTTATTAGTCACATGATTGCTTATGAGTTAAAAGTACCTGGCAAGAAGTTTAATGACTTGAAATCTTTAGCAAGAAGTTTTGTATTAGTTAATATTAACACTATTATTACTTAGATTATAAAGCTTTTGTCCACCTAACATTACTAGGCACCTATAGTGCACAGTTGTCCAACCTTTTGGCTTGCCTGGGCCACAGTGAGCGAAGAGGAATTGTCTTGGGCCACATATAAAATATATAAGTTAATATACATAAATAACAAAGTTAAAACAATTTTGTGAAATAACACACCAAGCCCAAGTTTGATAATTATTAAGAACACTTACAGGCTGGGGATTTAGCTCAGTGGTTCCGCCACCTGCCTCGCAAGCACAAGGTCCCGAGTTCAATCCCCAGTACCAAAAAAAAAAAAGAACACTTACATTTCTGCTTAATAACAATAAATGCCTGTTTTCACAGGCACACATGTAGGTGGGTTAAAATACTATTACTAGTAGTTGCTGTGTTTGGCTTGCCAAGTTGCACAAATGCATGTAACATCTGCTACACATGGGTTTCTATCTGCCTGTGTGATGGGTATAGGAGGCAGAGTTACCACTGCACTGTGCCCTCCCCTACACAACGTTCCACTGTCGAATATACAGTCCATGTTCAAGCAACATGCAATCAAGTTATGAAAAATATTGTTAATATAATAATATTGAAAGCTTATCACCCTCTGGAACTGCATTACAAGCTGTTCAGGGCCACTCATGGACTGAGGACCAGACACATCTGATCTAGTGTCTTACATCTAGTAAGAATTAATGCTTGATGTGGTTTAAGAAGTTGCTGAAATAAACATGGAAGTAGAAACACCCTAGAATAGGCACTACCATTCTCAATCTGTCCAGTTCAGGACTGTGTTACCAACAGAGGGAAGACCTGGAATTAAATGACTTGGAAATTAGTCAAAGCATAATTTCTCTTAAGTCTAAAGTGTCCTCCCCATATTTTGAGACTTGGTGACATCATCTGACCTTCTTTAAAAAAGACTTTTAGAGGCTGGAGGGTGTAGCTCAGTAGTAGAACACTTGCCTAGCATGGATGAGCCCCTGGGTTTAAATTCCAGCATCCCCTAAATAAAAAAAATTTTCCACAGACTTTTATTTGGTTATTTTTTTCTTGGTTCCCAATGTCTTTGGCCCTTGTCATATTCTTCTACCTGTATTCCCTCTTCTCTTTATTCTTAGTTGTTTGGATCTTCCCTGATTTGGGGCCTGTTAGAATTTTTTAAAGTACAGTAGCCAAAAGATACATTCAGAATTCTGGCTGCAGGTGTATCTTATCTTTAACTGAGAATAGGATAAGGCAGTGGTGGTGAACATTTTAGAGCTTTCAATGATACAACCAGCCCACTGTGGCATGTATGCCACAGGTTCACCACCACTGGGATAAGGTTTTCTGTTTTGCTTCCAGTACTCCTTTTGGTGGTCATCCTTTGAGTGGCCTTGTGGATTTAAGTTCCAGTAAGTGCTTCTCAAATCTTTACATTCCTTAAAACTTTGGCTTTGGATTGAATTTGAGTTCAAGAAAAAAGCTCAAAACCACACAATTTAAATTCATGACGGTCTTAATCCATGTCTTTAACAAATCTCTGCAAATAAAAAGATGTTTTGTGTCAGTCACGTTACAACTCCCCCACCACTACCCACTACCTGGACACCAGCTTGAGAAGAAGGCTCCCAAGGGTACAATCTGTGATAACATTCTGCTCTGATAGTTTAGATTCCTTTCTTTTAAACTCTTTTTTTTTTTTTTTTGGTACTGGGGATCAAACTCAGGACCTTGCGCTTGTGAGGCAGGTGCCAGAACCACAGCTAAATCCTTGGCCCTAGATTCCTTTTTGATAGAGTTGGATTGTCTAGTCTTCACCCTTAATGTAGGTGGGAAAATATTCAAGTTGTCAGAATATGTATGTATTTCTTGATGTGCTGGGAGGAGGAAGGATTCTTGGGGAGATGAACTGTGTAAAGAATAGAAACGTTGAGACCAGATTCGATATAGCTCCTGAATCTGGCACTTAGCAGCTGTGTGACCTCTCAAGGTCACTGCTCGTTTCACCTATGGGATCAGCATCTATGTCATTTAGTTGCCTGATAGGATTGTTTTAAATAAGAATTTGTGTTGCATGGTTAGAGACAGTGCCTCAGATCTTTTAAATAATCGATGTTAGATATTTCTTTCTGTATACTTTAATTTCTCCAAGTTTTTTATTAAAAATATGTAGAATTTCTAATGTACTTTTGTCCTAAATTGACTACTTAAGTTTCTTTAAATCCTGTTGGCTAGTCTTGCTATTTTACTTCTACTTCATAATTCTGGGATATGTGAGGTCTATTGCTACCAATTTCTGACTGCTAGGTTAACATCTCTGGGTTCTTACTTTAAATCCTGTTGGCTAGTCTTGGTAGTTTTACTTCCACTTCATAATTCTGGGATATGTGAGGTCTATTGCTACCAATTTCTGACTGCTAGATTAACATCTCTGGGTTCTTACTTTCTAAAGCTCAGCTTCTGCAAAATGGTGTTCATAATAGGACCTATCTCAGGGTTGCTGAAGACTGAGGCAATTCTGCTATTCATGTGATTTTTTTTGTGGTACTGGGGATCAAACCCAGGAGTACTCTACCACTGAGCTACATCCCTGTCTCTCTTTAAGTTCTGAGACATTGCTAAGTTGCCCAGGCTGGCCTTGAACCTGTGATCTCTTGCCTCAACCTCTTGAGTAGCTGGGATTACAGGTGTGTGCTATTGCATTTTGCTACATGTGACATTTTAAATTTTATTGACAAAATGAATATGATGTTGTCCCAAGTTGTTATTTGTGGCCCAGGCCAGTGAGAGAATAGCACATGCAGTTTACCTTGTCATTCCCTCATTTGTTTTCAGGCTGCAGCCTAAAAGACTTTGGAGATTTGAGTTTTACTCCTGTTGCTAAAGATGATCCCTTCAACAACCTTGTAATGAATCCACGCTCAGTGGGCCTTGCTAACCAGGAACTGACTGAGGTGGTTAGTAGAGCAGTGTCAGATGGCTATAGCTGTGTCACTGTGGGAGGAGACCACAGGTAAGCTGGGACCTTGGGGAAGGGCTGCATGACACGGCGCTTGGTTTCCTTACCTGGAAAAAAATACTCTACGGAATTTTTAGGGTCTGATGTATGTTACAGCATTTTAATGTCTAAGATCAAGAGCTGCTGAAGGCACTGTGTGATTTGCTTTGTACATTGCACTGCATTGTAAGAGGATGTGTACCTTCAGCACAGCAAGGCTAAACATAGATGAAAAAAGGTGTTTAGACAGTGTTTTCATGCTTATCTCTTGGAAACGCTTGAGAAATTATTTTTCATTTAGCTATTTTGGAGAACTGGTAGAATCCATCAACAGGCCCTATGTAGGCATTTTTTGTTAGCATTTCTACTAATAGATTTGTTAGAGACACCCTGCCCCACACCAAGTGAGTATATTTTTTACCTCCACATTATGGACCCTGGGTGACTATTTTTTGTCTCTTAGCAAATCAGCATGTACTTAGGACTGTACAAAGATTTTTTTCAGCAGTGCTAGGAAATATGGGAAACTTGAGATCTATTAGGACTAAATTAAATTAATACATGTACAATGAAAATTTACAAATACTGAATTCTACAGAATTTTAGAGATGAAGTCAAGTCAGTCTGGGCTAGTAAGATTTCACAAGGGAGTGTGATGTGAGCTAAGAAAGGTTTTTGGTAGCAAGAGGCATCTGAAATACTAGGAGTATGAACATTTCATACATATTTTCAGTTACTTCTCCTAAGAATGCCATGAAGTAGGTGTGGTTTTATCTGATTTTCTGCTGGAAGCATTGAAGCTAGATAACTTATGCAAGGCCGAGAGCAGGATGCTCTTTTCAGATCCAGTCTGGCAATTTTCCCTGAGGAGCTCAGACAGCTTTTCAGATCACTATCAGAGTTAAATTTGGTGTGTGTGTGCTGGGGATTAGACTCAGGACGTCTTCCCTGTTAGGCAACTGTTCTACCATTGAACTTCATCCCCAGCCCTAGAAGAGGCAGGTAGATTCTGCATTAGGAATAAAAATTCAGATAGGATAAGAAAGTGGTCATACCCAGGTTTCCTACTGCAATGACTGTGGCATTCAGTTAAACCACGGGACAGGTTTCCTGCCTCCGAGCTCAGTGCTGACTCTGGAAGTTTAGTCTTTCTTTTCTGGTTAGTTCTCACTGTCTGGGGACTTGACCAATGTGATTACCACAGTCTGTTTTTTCCTTTGTCTGTAGCTATCTATACTGCAGCCATCTTACTGCTTACCTATTTCCTATTCGACAATGAAATCTAGGCTCTCTGTCCAGATTCTAGCGGGGAAGGGATAGATGTACAACCTGAACAGCTGTTAACATTTTAAAGGAAGAGGCATTTTCAGATCACTCCTTTTATACAGTACAACTTATGCTGTCACCTTAATCATTAAAAAACCACTCTGGATTTATGCTTTTTTTTTTTTTTTTTGGAGACAGGATCTCACTATGTAGTGCAGGTTGACCTTGAATTCACTATGTAGCCCAGCCTGGCCTTGAACTCATGTAAATCCTCTTGCCTCAGCCTCCAGGACTGGGACTATAGGCATGCACCACCATGCCTGGCCACCACTCCTGATTTAAACAGGCCAAGTATGATTAACCCTTTCTATAGAGAGGAAAACTATAGAGAAATTAGATGAGTGGCTTTAGTCACAAAACCACCTGGACTAGAACTCCAGTATTCTAAGTCCACTGCCATTTGCACTGGACTGGACTGTCCCTCAAAAGGGCCCAATGTGGTGGGAAGCCTATAAGGCTGTCTCATGCTGTACTGACCAAGGATGACTGTTGCTACTTTCTAAGATGCTTAAACTGCGTTCCCCATGTCAAATCCCTTGGTTGCTGGCAAGCTTGGCAGCTTTCCAACCACAATCTCATTAGCTGTTTTCCAGCAGTTGAGATAGGACAGGTGGCTGATATACACAGAATCCAAGAACAAAACACTTCAAAAGATTTGAATGCTATGCAAAGGTATATAACATAACATTCATGCTAATACCCCTTATTTTATTCAGTGGTGTATGAGATCTTTAACTGGGGTTTCCCTGTTAATTTAATGTTTAACAACTTTGACTTTCCAGGTTTTAGGTGGTATCACATACAAGCTTTCTAAAAAGCTGTAAAGCCTGGTAATTTTTCTCTTTTCTTTCTTCTTCTTTTTTTCTGGTAGTGCTAGGGATTGAACCAGGATCCTGAATATACTCTGCTACTGCTGAGCTGCACCCACAGTCCTAATTTTTATCCTTTTATTCTCTGGAAATTAGCATTAGATTTCCCAAGGTCTCCCTTAGGAAGTATTAAGCAACATTTTCCTGAATTGTTCCACACAGATCATATCATTAACTAGATTTTATTCATTGAACAGATCTTTGAGGTCCTTTTCTGGGCCAGGGCTGCTATTGGATCATAATTATATCAATTTGGGGGACAGAAATATCTCTCGCTGCAAGAATAGTTGGTTGTTAGCACTGAATCTTCGGCTCTTTACATTTCTCCTGTCTAATCCACTCAAGGTTCATCTTTGGGTACTACAACCCATGGACTCTTCTCTCACCCTGACTCACCCCAGTTTGGGCCCCGACTTTGTCCTGAGGACAGAGTGTAAACTGTGTTGGCTGAGGGTATTTGTTATGGGTGATGTTTACCAAGTAAAGGGCCTTGAAGATTATTATATCTGTTCTTCACAGCCTTGCAATCGGTACTATTAGTGGCCACGCCCGGCACTGCCCAGACCTTTGTGTCATTTGGGTTGATGCCCATACTGACGTCAATACACCCCTCACCACTCCAACAGGAAATCTCCATGGACAGCCAGTTGCATTTCTCCTCAGAGAACTACAGGACAAGGTCAGTGAGCCAAAAGGAGAAGGTAATTAATTGTCCTATAGGATTATCCTGGGGCTTCTGGGGTCTAGTTCACTAAGACTGGGGTGAAGGATAGGTTGAATGTGGCTAACCACTCCTTCATTTGTTCATTAAATACTATAATGGACCAAGTAGTTTGCCATATATGATATAGATACCTAGGACATATTCCCTGCTATTGTGGGGAGGGGCTCTTAATCTGGTAAGAGTAAAATGATAGTGTGTAGTAAAGGTAGTGACAGGTATCCCACAGCCTGAGGGCTTCTTGGTTAGAGGCTCCCAGGCCACACACTCAGATACACTGAACTAGCATATGAGTGATACAATGGTCACCTCTGGGCGATGTCTTTCCAAACTATTCATATTAGGCATAGACTACACTCTGTATTCCTCCCCTCAGTGAGAAACCAAGTTGAACCAGAACAGTACAAAGATTATTCATTAGGCAGAATTCATTTGGCTGTTAGTAACTTAAGATGGCAACTGTCAAGGAATCTGTAAACAGTTCAGCGACATGCAAAGGGATGCAGAAGGGCTAATCAGCATATTCCTGTTGTTTAGGTAAGTTAATGAAAAACGAAGAATATCTTAGAAGAGATTCTTTCATTCTTTTTGAGAAAGCTATACTGTTTTTCAGCTGCCCTGAAATATTTCCACATGTAAATCAAGTATGTTTTGTGTTGCTTTAAACATATCCCAAGGAGGAGAAAGCAACTGTATGCCCTTGGAAATGCACAGTGATGATGGGACACTAAGAATTCTTGATTACTTCTGTTCAATTTCTTTTCATAGATACCGTCACTCCCAGGGTTTTCGTGGATCAAACCTTGTATCTCTACCCCAAGTATTGTGTATATTGGCCTAAGAGATGTGGATCCTCCAGAACAGTAAGTTGATGTATTAGGATTAAGCTTTGGGCCTATGCTAACCACTTAGGTTCCTTTTTTTTGTGGTACTGGAGATCAAACCCAGGGCCTTCATATGGTAGACAAGTGCTCTATCACTAAGCTGCGCCACCAGCTCACTTGGATTCTTTCACTTGCATTCTTGCAGGCTGATGCTTGACTTAATCTGTTGTGATCAATATAAGGGGAAAACTCCCTTAAATATATATCTGTATTTTTTCCTTTTTATTTCATCATTTGACAGTATGGGAGCCTTTGCACTGAACTACATCCCTGTCCCTTTAAAAAAAATTTTTTTTGGTACCAGGGATCGAACTCAGGACCTCGCACTTGCTTGCCAGGCAGGCACGGTGCCACTGAGCTAAATCTCTGGCCCTAAAAAATTTTTTTATTTGAGAGCCGGGGATTTAGCTCAGTGGTTTCACCGCCTGCTGTGCAAGCGCAAGGACCTGAGTTCGATCTCTGGTACCAAAAAAAAAATTTTCTTTAAATTTGAGACAGGGTCTTGCTAAGTTGCCCAGGTAGGACTTAAACTTGTGACTCTCCTGCCTCAGCCTCCCAGTGTGCTGAAGTTGTAGGTATGTACCACTACACCAGTCTTAAAACTGCTTTTTAACTAAGAATTTCTTTATATCTCACCAGCTTTATTTTAAAGAACTATGATATTCAGTATTTTTCCATGAGAGATATTGATCAACTTGGTATCAAGAAGGTGATGGAACAGACATTTGACCTGCTGATTGGCAAGTAAGTAACTAAAATGTATGTCTACCTTTAGGTCTCTGAGGGGCACAGGGCAGCTCAAGTCTCTTGAGCATAGTACCTTTACTTTTAAAACAAAAGCAAAACTTGTATATATAAAAATTTCAAATAGTTCACATAAGTGTAATACAAGATCTAATTCATATTCTTCCTTAGGTGGGGAGGGGATTTCCTTTAAGTCACTGCTCAGATCCTGTGTCTCTGATGAACTCCCCGTTATCTCCATTTTAATGCTTATCTTTTGAGATGAGAACCATTCCTTGTTCCAGTGGGCCCATTCTTTCCAGCCTCATTATGGCATCATCCAGTTTTATATTAAGCAAATCCTGGTAGTAGAGAAAAAGGGCAGATGGATGCTAATCAAATCCAACTTAAAGAGCATTTTCCTGCTGAGTGGAGGGCACACAACTATAATCCCAGCTACTAGGGAGACTGAGGCTGGAGGATCATAAGTTTCAGGCCAGCCTGGGGAACCATGTGAGACCTTGTCTGAAAAGCAGGGGGTGGGGGTGGGGGTGGGGGAAGCATTTCCCCATTGTCAACCCTTTACTTCTGGGTAATCTGGGTGATTAATGTCATTTCCTAAACTGTTAAGAAATGCAGTAACTTGGCATAAAGGTGTTGGGCATTAGTTTTAGCCACTGGACACCAGCATTCAAATTGGAATTGCATGGGCCTGGGATTTAGCTCAGTGGTTCCACCGCCTGCCTCTCAAGTGCAAGGTCCCAAGTTCAATCCCCGGTACAGAAAAAAAAAAAAAATGGAATTGCAAGTAGTTGGGTTTGCAGACATAAAATCAGAATTAAGTCCAGCTGCTACTGCACTCAGAATAACCACAACTGTAACCGAGATCAGGCTAACTTAAATTCAGTATATCAGTGTCCAGTCTCCTATGGAAACGAAGTATTCATTATACTGGCTACAATGCCCAGACTACAGAAATATAAACAGTCTGGTGAGGCATGCAAAACAGATGGCAATATCATGAAGTGTAGTGTGAAGGAAACTAATATGCTAATCTTAGTAACTCCTAGGAATAGGAAACCCAGAAATCTGCTGTGTTAACAAATACAGTGTTGCCTCAGTTCACACACTTAATTCTTTCCATGATTCTGGTTGCAACCAGAATTAGTTCGCGAACCAAGGTAACCACTATACCAGGGCCAACAGGAACAAAATCAAGGAGTTGTAGTCACAGGAAGGAGTCTACAAGCACTACCAAAAATGTATTCTCTTGTCCTCTTTCCAGAAGACAAAGGCCAATCCACCTGAGTTTTGATATTGATGCATTTGACCCTACGCTGGCTCCTGCCACAGGAACCCCTGTGGTAGGGGGACTGACCTATCGAGAAGGCGTGTATATTAGTGAAGAAATACACAATACAGGTATGGAGCAACCAGGGCTGCAGCCTGTTATTCCATATCTAAATATGCTGCTGTCTCTTGCCTATGGGGGATCTTTATTATTCCATGTCATTGCAGTGTTTTTTGCTTAAACTTTAATAGCTAAAAAGCATATGGCCAAACAATAAAGGAAACAGTCATTTAGAGGCATATCTGGATCTGGATTGTACCAAAATACATACTAAATTAATTGTGAATAAGAAAATGTGTCTACACAAAGTAAGAACAGACTGCCAAACTGATGCAGTTCCTGATGTATGAGCCATCTAAAGGCAAATTAAGAAGGCAAAGCCAAGTAGCTATAATTTTGACTCTAATAGTAGAGGATGTTGGTTTGAGTTGGAAATTTGGAGTTAAACGTGATCTCAAGTTGGAAAATATCTTGGTCCTTTTTTTTTTTTTGGTACCAGGGATCGAACTCGGGTCCTTGCGCTTGCAAGGCAGGCGGCGGAACCACTGAGCTAAATCCCCAGCCCTATCTTGGTCCTTTTTATTTAGGGTATGTTTTATCTGAGTTTGTTTGATAAGTGCTTCAATAAGAACACAGCTGGATGACTGGCTGACAGAGCAGGCTTGGATTATTGAGAGTGGCTGCCAATGCTTATTGTCTCAAAAATGCATACTTGTTTGCTCAGTTTCCATTTGTCAGAAAGCTTCTGGTTTTAAGCCTACTTTAAATGACTGTTCCTTCCAAAATGTAAACTACCACATGATACTGCTTCAGTAACCATTCTGAAACTGGGGTATAGAAAACCACAGACTCCAGACTGAAAGGTTTAGGGCTCTATGGAACCCCTGACTAGTTGGGATAAAAATGGGCACTACGCCCTGGAGCCTGCTAGACCCTTAAGCAAGTACTGCCTCTTAAGGCTGACAGTGGCAAGAGTATCTTATTCTTAGACCCATCATTCAGAAGCTGCCAAGGTGCATGGTCAGAGGAGAGAGAACCTGGGAGTTCAGTTCTCTACTTCGCTCCCAGTGACACCACTAAGAGGAGCAGTTAATAACTTGCAGCACTCAGATGTGGCAGTGGTCATCCCTTGTGCCTCCTTTCCCTGCTGCAGTATTATTTTATTCCAAAAGGTAGTTGGATATGGTGGTCCATACCTATAAATGCAGCATTTGGGAGGTGGCTAAAGCAGGACTGCTGACAATTTGAGGCCAGCCTGAACTACACAGTGAGACCCTGTTCAAACACAAACAACCCCAAAAGACTGTAGGACACTGCCAACTACAAATACATAAGCAGTTTGCTTAAACTTGAAGGATGGCCACAATCTGGGCATATACCTACATGTATTATATATGTAATATATATTTTTAATAGTGAAAACCCTCTTGATTACTACTTTTGGGATATACTAATAGTACTTTAAGCCAGTGGAATTCAGAGACATAATTCATCAGGGACACAGGTCCATGTGCAATAAAAGAAGTGCTATGGCAACACACCTGGTCAAGGTGGTGCTGCACAGTGCACTCAACCATGCATTGCTAAGAAGGTAAGATACTGAATAGATACTATAGCACTGAAAATATCACCTAAAATCATGTAATATCAAGAATCCATTAGGTAAATTCACTCAAGGTTCTGGACTTGGTAGCCACCCCTAAATAGTCTCCAGTACTGTGTTCTTGAAAACTAGTTTGCTCAGATGGCTCTTAAGGAGGTAGATTAATTTCACTGAGAATAACCAATTAAAAAGTTAAATTCTCTAGAGAAGCAGATCATCTATGGAGGTGATGAGGGTAGAGGGCAGATCTGGAAGGTGACCCTTTCCCTCAGTTCACTGTGGGCCAAAGGAACTTGGGAACAAATTCTCACACCCTTGCAGAAGGCAGCTGGAGTCCAATTAAACAGTGAAGATATGGCTGAGTCTTCCCTTGACCAAATATAAGAGGCTGGGCCAGTATGCTGGGAGACATTAAAAAAAAATGTGTTGGACATGGAACCTGCTCTCAGAACTCATGCAAGAAGGGGTAAGAATTAAGTCTGTAGTAATAACTACATTTCAGGGCAGGGGTATGTACTTTAGGAGATAAAGTTGGGGCTGGAAGTATAGCTCAGCAATGCCCTGAGCTCCTTCCCCAGTGCTGCAAAACAAAAACAGGTAATAGTGTCTCAAAGCCTAACGGCTATGCCTATAATGTTAGGTGAAAAGGGATGATTTTATTACCTGAAAGATTTCTTTCAGTCCTACTCTGGTATATCAGTGTTTTAAGTTCATGGCCAAGAGGATGGGGTACAAGGGGCTTTCTGTTGAGTTTTATAGTGGAAAATCATTGTTTTTTACCTTGGCACGTTCTCTTTGTCCAGGTAGGACAATTCTCAAAGTAGCAGCTCAGGACTTTTCTGAAGTTCTGTCTACCTTGCTCTTCCAGGGTTACTGTCAGCATTGGATCTTGTTGAGGTCAATCCTCACTTGGCCACTTCAGAAGAAGCAAAGGCTACCGCTAGCCTTGCAGTGGATGTGATTGCTTCAAGTTTTGGTCAGACAAGGGAAGGAGGACACATTGTCTATGACCAACTTCCTAATCCCAGTTCACCAGATGAATCAGAAAATGAAGAACGTGTGAGAATTTAGGAAATATTGTATGCTGGAATGTTTCCCAATGGGCATTCGCATTGTGAGGCATTCTGAGGGGGACAGATATATGGCTGTCTGGGTCAGTACTGCCTTAATGAGAACATCTGTGCATTCTCACAACTTAGTTTCCCCTCCCCACTTTGGTGACCAACAGTACTACTGTAAATGCATTTTGGTTTTTTGCAGTTCACAAGGTATTATGTAAATCTGAAGAAATCATAAACATTTATTACCTTGGTATATCATACTGGTCTTGTCGTTCTTCCTTCACATTTACACGGTTCTGTTTGGCCCCCCTCTTCCCAAGTCTGGCTACACAGTGCATCCTTGAACTGTCAGCCCACAGCAGCAACATGCTTGTTCCACATCCTCCCTAACACCATTCATCCACAGGGTCAAGGTTCTGGTCCACAAAGCCCTTCCTAGAGGAAGTTCAATGCTTGCGAAAGAACTTGTAATAAACCAGGCCTCCCAGGATGACGAGCTCCAGTAAGATGACAATGGAAAGCAGCAGCTTGTTGGTTGTCACTCTACACAGACAAGCAGAAAAAGTAGTAGTTTACATAACCATATTTCGTGCTGTTCTTAATACTTTGGGGTTTGACGGAAGGGCAATGATGGATCAGACTATGAGGCAGTCTGAGATTTTTTTTTTGTTCAATTACAGCTCCGAAAAAGTGCTCTTACTGTTCTTTGGCTGGTAAGTGACAACTCCTAATGTTATTTAGTTGTCACTGACATAACACATCTACCTCATAGAAAAGTGGAAAACGGGTACAAAGCATCAAAATGGTTTGATTCTAAAATATCTTCAAATCATTATTTGAAACAACAAATATAAATCATTAGCCATGTAGAGCCACATCAGCTACACACTGAACTGTGAATGTAGGTTGGAAAAAGGGTGTGGGACAGACTCTCTAGTGTCAAGTCCAGCCCTTGGATGGGTCCTGTTTTTTAGAACTAAAAGCCTAGGTATTGTCTTCCAAACTCTTGTAAATTTCTTCCTAAATTTTTTCTTTGCTCTACTCTCCTATCCAGTTATCTGTACTATTTTTTGTTTATTGGTGCATTTTAGATAAATACATAACTTTCATTATAGGGAATTTGTACCTGTACATGATACATCTTTTTTTCCTATTCTCCTCCCTTCAAGCCCTCTTCCCCTCCTTATTTACAAAAGCTTTGTTTCCTTTTCCTTCTTTTTCTTGGCCTTTCCTTCCTTTCCCCCTCCCTTGTTCCCCTTCTCATTCGAACATTTTCTTCCCATTTCCAAATATCTATTAAATACACTTTGGTCCTTATTTACACTTTTGGTTTCTCATGCCAGAGAAACAATGTGGTACTTATACATGTGTGTCTGATTTATTTCACTTAAGAGTATGGTCTCAAGGTGCATCCATTTAGCTAGAAATGTCTCAAGCCTATCCTTTATGGCAGAGCAGTACTTCACTGTATAAAAAACCCATATATTTATCCATCCATCAGTTGATGAGCATTTGGGCTGTTTCCAAGATTTAGCTATTACAAACTGTACCGCTATAAGCATGGGTATGATTACCGCTATAATCACTGTGGTATGATGCTTTTAATTCTTTTGGGACGATATCAAGGGGATTAGCTGAGTCAAATGGAACTTCCAGTTTAGTTTTTTGAGGACTCTCCATCCACAGATGTCTATGGCAGTTGCACCATTGTGCACTAACACCAACAGTGGAGAAGGTTTCCTTTTTCCCCACAGCCCTGCCAGCATGTTATTAGTTGATTTCTTGATAATAGTCATTCTTTTTGGAGATGGAATCTCAGTGTTGCTTTAATTTGCATCTCTGGAATGACCAGTGATGTTAAACATTTTTTCATATATTTGCTGTTTCTACTTTATCTGAGAAGTGTCTATTCATTTCAGACACCCATTTTTGGACTGGGTCTTTAAATTTGGGAGGTCTGATTTTTTTAAGTTTTTTTTTGGTACCGGGGATTGAACTCGGGTCCTTGCGCTTGTGCAGCAGGCGGCGAAACCAGAGCTAAATCCCCAGCCCCTAAAAGTTTTTTATACATTCTAGATATTAGTCCTTTGTCTGAGGAATAGCTGGCAAAAATTTTTTGCCCACTGTGAGTTACATTGGATTCTTTTTCTGTGAGAAAGAATCCATTACATTGGATTCTTTTTCTGTGAGAAAGTATTTTTTAATAAGATTTAATAAGTATTTTTTAATCTCAGTTGTTAGTTCTTTGTGATGTTTCCTATGTACTCTAGGATTTGTTAATGAATTTTTTGCCTACACCAAAGTCTTTAAGAGTTCTAGCTATTCTATCTTCCAGCAGATTTAGTGTTTCTATTTTAATATTTAGATCTTTGATCCATTTTTAGTTTAGTGCATGGTGAAAGATATGAGTCTTTCAGCATGTGGAAAGCCAGTTTTCCCAGCACCATATATTAAAGAGGTTATCTTTCATCTAGTGAAGGTGTTTGGCTCCTTTGTCAAAGATAAGGTGACTGAGTATATTTGGAGTTGTTTCTGCATCTTCTCATCTGTTCCACTGATCCTCTGCTCTGTTTTTTGGGCTAGTACCATGCTACTTGTATTACAATAGCTTTGCAGTGTAATTTCAAGTCAGGGATTGTGATGCCCCCTGCCTTGACTTTGCTGCCCAGGATTGCTTTTGCTATTCTAGGTCTCTGGTTCCAAATGAATTTTAGGATTGTTTTCTCTAATTTTGTAAGATACGCTATTGGTATTTTGATCATGATTGCATTAAATCTGTATAACAATTTTGGAAGTATGGCCATTTTCACTAGATTGGTCCTTCCTGCCAAAGAACAAGGGATATTGTTCCTTTTTCTAACATCCTCTTCTATCTTCTTTTTCAGAGTACTGTAGTTTTCAATGTAAAGGTCCAATAGATTCCTAAGTATTTCGTTTTTTTGGATGCTATTGTGAAAGGTGTCATTTCCCTAACTTCTCTCTCAGTGAGTTTGTGTACAGGAATGCTACTGATTTCTGAGTGTTGACTTTGTATCCAGCTACACTACTGAATTTGGTTATTTGGTGGAGTATATGGGGTCTTCTATGTAGAGTACCATGTCATCTGCAAATAATGGTAATTTAACTTTTTTCCTTTCCTATCCTTATTCCTTTTATTTCTCTTGTCTAATTACTCTGGCTCATGTCTCCAGAAATATATTGAACAGGAGTGGTGACGGGACATCCTTGTCTTGTTCCTGATTTTAGAGTGAAAGCTTTCAGTTTTTGTCCATTTAGTATAAAGTTGGCTGTTAGTCTGTCATAGATGGCTTTTATCAGATTGAGATAAAAACCATCTATTCCAATTTTTTGTAAGGTTTTTATTATATATGGGTGTTGGGCTTTGTCAGATGCTTTTTCTGCATCTATTGAGATGATTCTATGGTTTCTGTCCTTGGCTCTGTTAATATGGTGTATTACATTTATTGATTTGCATATGCTGAATCATCCCCGCAACTCTGGGATGAATCCTACTTGGTCATGGTGTATAATCCTCTTGCTGATTTGCTGCATTCTGTTTGCCAGTATCTTATCTGATAGATTTTGTTTTGTTTTTTGTTTTTTTGGTACCAGGAATCGAACTCGGGACCTTTGCTTGCCAGGCAGGCACTGGAACCACTGAGCTAAATCCCCAGCCCTTGCCAGTATCTTATTGAGGATTTTTGTGTCTATGTTCATTAGGGAGACTGGCCTGTAGTTCTCTTTTTTGGTTAGATCCTTCCCTGGTTTTGGTATCAGGGTAATGCTTTCTTCCAGGAATGACTTCGGGAGTATTGCTTCCCTTTCAATTTCATTAAAGAGTTTGAGAAGTAGGAGTACTGGGTCTTCTCTAAATTTCTTGTAGAATTTAGACAATCTGTCAGGGCCTGGGCTTTTCTTTGTAGGTAGGTTTTTAATTACATCTTCAATTTCAATGACTGATATTGGTTTATTCATAATTTTTATATATTCTTGATTCAGCTTTGGTAATTCATATATATCTAGGAATCTGTCCATTTCTTCTGTGCTTTCCATCTTACTAGAATACAGGTTCTCGAAGTAGATGTTGATGATCTGTATTTCTGCAGGACCTGTTGTGATTTCACCCTTTTCATTCATTAATTGTATGGATTTGAGTCTTTTCTAGTTATGTGTATTATTTAAAAAATTTACTGTTTATAGAATAAAAACCCAATCTCTGGTTCTCATATTCATTCTGGGTTTCTCCCTGTTCCACGAGGAATTAACTACTACTTAGGAAAACTACCCCTCCTGCTAATTACATGAATGGGTTACAGTTTTGTTTCATGTTACATGTGCCCAAGCTCATGCATACTACCTAACCTACTCCCAATTTCAACTCAGTGAAAATACCTCAGGTTTTTTTTTTTTTTTAAAGTCTGCTTGCTAGAAGAAAGGATATCCAAAAAAGGCCCTGACTGCCACGAAGGGTAAGCACAGCCAAAAACATGCACTAAGTAACAGTAGTGAAAACTGCTATATAATTAAGTTTTAAAGTATTTCAAGGAATATGAAACTTTATTATTCTCATGTGTCTTCTCTAAGGAATCCAAGCTGAGATTAAATGTCCTTTCAGTGGACAAATTTCCCACTGCTTCAAGTTAGTAGTACGTAATTTTAACAAAGGATTTTATCCTGGGATATTTCACTATACAAAATTATATTCCTTTATTTCTGCTTATCTGCTGGGTAAAACAGAGTATAGGACTATGTGGTTTCCCTTACTGAGATGATTTATTAGGAACTTTGTAAGTCACTGTTTTAAGTTTTCTTGGTTGAAAGATATTAAGAGTTAAGAGAAATTAATTTTGTAGCTGTATTTTTAAAACTTACTTTCTGGACATTGAACGGAGAATCTTTCGACTTTTGCTCAAGTTTTCACTTGTGTTTACCAGCTGAAAAGAGAAAATTTCAGTTATTTCTCCCTTTTCTAAAGTACATACTGTCATATAATTTTTCATTTGTTTTGTTTTTGGTACCAGGGATCGAACCTGGGACCTTGTGCTTGCAAGGCAAGCGGTGGAACCACTGAGCTAAATCCCCAGCCATCTAAAGTACATACAGTATAGACCTTGAACATCCTCAAACAGTGGGCATTAAGCTGGAGAATATATTAAAAATGTCAACAAATCAAACCAATTTAAATGATGGCCTCTGAGTACAGGTAGAAGGACCTAGAAAGGACAAAATGCTTTGGTACTCATCAAGGCCTGGGGATCATCAGTTCTCCAGGCTGCTGTGGAGGTAGACTTCTGGCTGAGACTAGCTACTCAGAAGAGGAAGGTTTCTCATGTACTCAACCAGTGACCATGAAGCAACATAAGATCTGAATTTCATCATCCGAATTCCAGGACAGCCTCCTGAGTTGGAATTTGTTTCTGTAGGCTAGTGGGTTACCACTTTAGGGATCTAGTTACGTTTTTCTATCTTCACCTGCTGTGGCATTACCTGCAAGTGCATTGTGAAAGGACAAATTAGCCCACATGCACCTTTCCCTTTTGATTGTCTATTACTAATCTAGGAGGCTCTTTCAACAGATGCCACTTGGCTGTCTGTTCCCATTCTGCTGTGTCATGTAAACTCATCTCTCAGCTTCTTGGCTCATTCTATGGCTTGTAAATTCAACCCATCCGTCTGATGTGTTAAAAAATCTAAAGTCACATAATTTGTTAATAAGTGTCATTTTCCATAGCTGGCCATGAATTCAGCACTTGTGAATTTTCACTGAAATGGGAAGTGTCATTCTGACTTATTTTAAAAATGAAGAATTGTAGCTATTAAAATATGTAAGAGGGCCGAGGATTTAGTTCAGTGGTTCCGCCGCCTGCCTGGCAAGCGCAAGGTCCCGAGTTTGATCCCTGGTACCAAAAACAAACAAACAAACAAAAATATGTTAGAAAATCTCAAATCCTCATAGTGAGCAAGTATTTTCCTGTCTCAATCTTGATCCCAGTATGTGTTTTAATTTGGATTTGCATCATGCTCCTAAGAATACAGCATTCCAGCTGGGGTGTAGCTCAGTGGTAGAGCACTTGTCTAGCATATGTGAAGTTCTGGGTTCAATTCTCAGCACCCAACAAATATACATTCCACTGACAATTTGCACTATTTTGAAAATTCCTATGGATATTAACTCATTTATAGAAAGGAAGGAATGAATTATTTTTCAGAGCTTGGTGAAATAACAGATTAGAGATCTCCCAATATAATCATTTGGTCTCTATATTTCTTGTCACAATGATCCAATTATTTTGGGTAACAGTAAAGAGTCATAGTATGGGACTAAGACTTAAACATCTACAAATTATCAGAGATACTTTTGTTTTGTTTTGTTTTGCTGTACTGAGGATTGAAACACAGGGTCTGAGCTATGTCCTCAACCACCTTTTTTTATTTAGAGACAGTCTCACTAAATCACTAAGGCTGGCCTTTATCATCTGTATTTCTATCTGCATTCTGGTCTTCTGACCTCTGACCAGAAGCTCGCATCAAGCTCAATTTACAGAATTCTAGGGCTTCTCTTGCCTGGCATCTCCAAACCTTTCCAAACTCCTCCCACAAACCAGTTCCAAAGGCTTCTAAACCATATAGTCAGGTATAGTCATAGCAATGACCCCACTGCCTCAGCCTCCCAGAGGGGTGAGATTATAGATGTACACCCCACTCTCACCTCTGGAGGTATTATTTTTGACATGTGAAAAACAGCCTTGGTTCTAAATGACAGCATCTTAAAAGTAGACACTGTTTTCATAACAATATTCCACTAGATATAAAAAATCTCAGGTTGATAGCTTTGAATTATTATGTGTCTTTTGACATATCTCTTGCCAAAGTGAAAGAATACAGGAATTAACAAGGATGGATGATTGTAATCTTATAAATGCAAAAATCAGGTTCTTTCAGTCTTTAAGTCAAATTTTTTTTCCAATGACACCTAAATCTTAGGGGTGAAATTATTTTAAAGGGAGATTTCTTTCCACCAAGAAAACTAAACACTGAGAAACGCATTAAGAACCTAAAAAATGGTTATTCCTCTGAATTCAGAGGCAGTAGCTTCCGGCCTTATTTAGGGGGCCTGTGGGTATAGCCCACCTACTTTCCCCATTTCTTGCTCCTTCCCTGTCTGCCCAGGCTTACTCTGCTCTTGGTGCGTTCCAGCTGGTCTCGCTGTTCCCCCAGCTCTTCTATAATTTCTGAGCCAATCTGGTCAGTCTCTGTGGCAATCCGATGAGACCGCTCAATACTCTGGGTGGTCCTGTTGAGGCTTTCAGTGCCTTGCAGAAGCAGTGCCCTCTGAGACTGTAGCCGATTCTGACAAGCGCATGGAAGGGAAATGTTAGACTTCGTCTACTGTAAGTTCTTTGCCATTGTGTTCCTCATGACTCTCCTTGTTTAAAAAAGCAAACAGTGAGCAACAGTTTTCAATACTATGGTCCCTAAGGATCTGAAAGGGATTGGTTCTAGAAGGACCCTTGTGGATACCAATATCCATGGATGCTCAACTCCCTTAAAATGGTGTGGTATTTGCATATAACCTATGCACTTCTTCCCATATGCTTTATTTTTTTTTGCCATGTTGGAAATCAAACCCAGGGCCTCATACATGCTCTACCACTAAGCTACATCCACAGCCCTCCCATATTTGTCTCTAGCTTACTTATAATACCTAATACAATGTAAGTGCTATGTAAATAGTTGTTATACTGTATTGTTAGGGAATAATGACAAGAAAAGTCTATACATGAGTACAGATGTGGGGTTGTTTTGTTCCAAGGTTGGTTGACAGTACAGATGCAAAACCTACAGCTCTAGAGGGCCAACTGTACTTTTAAGACAGAACAAAACATGCCAATGAACTGTAAGATCTTGTTCAAGGTCACAGACTGAAGCTGAACCTGGAGTCCCATCAATAGGATCCCAGCATCTGCCACTTCACTGACTGTTATACCTAAGTGAGTCAAACGGAGATTTAAAAAAACACACATTTCCCCCATGTTTATGGTGAATGTGAATTGGTCTGCATGCCTCCTGGACTAGCAGCTTCAGAGGAAGCAGCCCAGGTTGGGAGGTGCACAAGCTACCTGAGAATGCAGATAACTGCTACAGGCAAACTAGCTCACCTCTGCAGCTCCAGGAAAAGACTCACTGAGGATTCTCAATTGACTAGTGCTAAGGACTGACAGACCACAAATAAGCTATTCTTTTTCAGCACATAGAGAAATCATTTAGAAATCTGAGACACGATCACATTCTGGAAAAAAACATGGCTACACTCCTGGTGAGCTCCCAAAAGAATTTCACCCCCGGCCACACACACACACTCTGAAGCTTCCACACTGTTGATTTGCTCTCAGGGAAGTTAATAACTTCAGTAAGTTTCTCCAATTGATCTAATTGTCTAAATCCCCACTGAAGTTTTTATTCTACCTATAACTGTAAGTACAGACAGCAGGAAAACAAAAGTAGTCTTTGTCAGGTCAGAATTAACTACCATGTACAAAAGTGGGCACAACTCTAAATTCTAAGCTATTCTAAGCACACACAATCAAAATGGGGCCCAGCTCACAGAGGCTTATTTACAAAGCAGGTGACTAATGGCAGCAGGACATCAAGAAGCCACAAGATGTAACAGGATGCATTTTCATTTAATAAATGGCACACAAAGCCAGGCATGGTGGCGCACGCCTGTGATCCCAGCACTTGGGAGGACAGCCTGGGCTACACAGTGAGTTCAGGGCCAGCCTGAACTACAAAATGGACCCTGCCTCTAAATAAATATAAATAAAGAAATAAATAAATAGCACACGGACCAGTAGATGAGGAAACTACTGAATGAGGTTCAAACAAACCCAGTTATGTTAGCTCAAAAGAAGTAAACAAAAAGACTTTTAAAAAATAAATATGCTCAGAATTTCAAATGATTAGGCTAAAGAAAGAGCAGGAAAAGACAACGGCATCACATAAATCCACCTCAAACAGACCTGGAACAATAATTCTACTGAAGGTGGAGCATGACACCTATTAATTCTACTGAAGGTGGAGCATGACACCTAAAGTATGACTCATGGAGCCAGGCAAGATGGTGTGGGTAAGGTGGTTTGTCAAGCTCTCAGGACATCTGCTTGAACCCAGCAGTTTGGGGCCAGCCTGGACAGCATACTGAGACCCTGTCTCAAAGAAAAACAAACACAAAAAACTCTGAAACTAATAATGTTTTTGTTTTTTTTTTGTACTGGGGATCGAACTTGGGTACTTGCGCTTGTGCAGCAGGTGGCAAAACCACTGAGCTAAGTCCTCGGCCCTAATGTTTTTTTTTAATCTCAAATCTTTCCTAACTGCTCAGGCTGGTCTTCAACTCTTGCTCCTCTTGCCTCAGCTTCCTGATTAGCTTAAGATTACAGGCATATACCACTGCATCAGCAGAAACTAATCATTTTCTTCTCTCTTTTGGTCAAGTCACTTTTACAGCTCCTACCAAACAAACTATCTGCCTTTTTCCAGTCTCCTTGTGAGATTCTGATTTGTGACAATCTCCTGTGTCTGTCTGGGTTTTACATCAGGCTCAAATGTGTCTGACATCAGCAATATCAAGCATGCATCATTCTGAGTGTCTCAAACTACAGTTAGGATGCAACATTAAACAGGATTTGTTTAAACTTTTACTACTACTAATGCCATTCTACTAAGTCCAGTCTACGCTGGTGGCAGGCCCCCTTCTATTTCTCTTACACATGACTTTGGCAGGCAGTTTTTACTGTGTACCATATTTCTGGATATAATCCAAATGCAGCACATTCAATTTAATCTTTGAATTTCTTTGGTGGTACTGGGGAATTAAGGGGGGCACTCTTACCACTTGAGCTATATCCAAAGCCATTGATTGATTGATTGATTGATTGATTCATTATTTATGGACAGGTTTATTTTTGCTGGGAGCACTCCACTGTAGATCACTATGGCCAGGCCTAACTCACCTCCTCCTGCGGATGAGGCAGGGCCCCATGTGGAACGAGGAACACGCATCTTGTTTGCTTCCTCCTGTGGATGAGGCAGGGCCTCTTGGGAGAACAGGGGACAAGAGGGCATGGCAGAGCAAGGCCTGGCTGAGAAGAGGACTATCTTCCTACTCGCCCATTCGCCAGAGAAACATCAAGTATTATCTCCTGCAGACCCTAGCTGCTCTCCCTGTTCCAATCAGCCAGCCCCTTTTACCCCCCCCTGCACTTCCCATATTGCTATCACTATAAATAAACACATGGCCATCTGCTTGGTGGTCTTCTCCTCCTGTCAGGAGTTAGAGCCCCACCTGCCCACACCTATATCTTATTATATCTCTTTGTCTGTCTTAATCTCTCACTGTCCTTTCTCACTCCGTGAACCCTTCAGCCACATGGGCTGCGGCATATTCTGGCTTACATCTTTTTATTTTTTGAGACAGGGTCTAAGTTGTCTAGGCTGGCATCATCCCTCCTGACTCAGCCTCCTGAGTAGATGGTATTATAGGGGTGATGTTTTATTTTATTCCTTTAATTATCCGACTTCTCTAGATGGTTCCAGAATATGAGTTTTTAACTAGCCAAATTTTGTAAATCTGAATCCTGAAGGCTAGAGTCAACCTGGCTCATTTTCCATTATAACAGAATATGGTGGCAGAAGGCCCTTTCTTGAAAAGCACCCTGCATTTCTCCTGTATCAGTTACCAGGCTGTCTTGACATTGAGGTAAAGAAAAACTTGGAATAATTTTGTAATAATACTGATAAATTGAAAACCTCAAATTTTGAGGGCATCCTTGAAAAACTAATTCTAAAATTTATATGAAAAAATAAAAACTCAAGAAGAAATTAGATCAACAGGTCAGAATACAAGTCCAGATAAGAACAGCTAACATACATTGCTAGACACACAAAGAAATATAAATAAGCATATGATCCAGAAGGACATGCATTAAAAAGAGCAGGTACCAGAGGGGTGAGAAGGGGAACTGGGTACACGAAAGAGGACAAGGGTAGGACAGAACCCCAAAAATTCAGTATGCACTGATGTGAACTATATACAAAATGTTTAATCTTTTTTTTTTTTTCCAGTACCAGGGATTAAACTCAGGACCTTGGGCTTTGCCAGGCAGGTGCGGCGCCACTGGGCTACATCCCCAGCCCAAAATGTTTAATTCTTATACTGCCGGCTGTTAGGAAAAGAAAAGGCGTACACTTACCATATGCTCATTCTCCACAACATATGTGTCATACTTCATGTCTCCTCGGCCCCCAGGTATGGCTGTCAAAGGTGTGGCTCTCACCTCCCGATGCAGTTTGGCAAGGTCCTTCCGGTAGTTTCGCAGCTTAGACATCATGGGGTTACGGAAAGACAGGGGTGCATACCGTAGTTCCTCCTCCATCTCTGCCAGCTGTGAAGACAGAAAGTAATAAGTAGGTGGCTTGTTCTTCCCTGCTCACCTGGGGATATACCTAGTTTGGACTCATCAAACTGGGCTACCCTAATTAACACTCAGCCATATGCTCCGTGAGGCAACTGCCATGTTCTCACCAAGTGCATGCATGGTGTCTTAGCAAGCATGGAGCAGGCATCAAAAAATACAGATGTGTGAATGAAAAAACTAACAGAAGCTCCTTATAGCTACAGAATAAAACATTTATATGAACATTCTACCATTTAATATCCATAACAAGTACAACAGGAAATACTTTCTCCATTTACATATGACTTAAATCTTGGGATTATATCATAAGAATAATCAAGGGTTCAAAATCTTCAAATTAACTTCAATGTACCAAGTTTGTAGCCTGCTATGGTTACACACTGCTGTCAAGAAACACACTGAAGTCTATTGTACTAAAAATGATTGGGGTCTGGCACCAGGGTTCCTCTTTTTCTCCTTCTCCTTCTGAAAATTGTATTTGCCTCCATGTCAGAGATGATGCACCCAGAGCAGCCTTTTTTTTTCCAGTACCAGGGATCAAACTCAGGACCTTGTGCCTGCCAGGCAGGTGGGGCGCTACTAAGCTACATCCCTGGCCCAGAGCAGCCTGCTTTAGGGAATCAGACTTCCATTATTCTGGGATGAGTAAAATGAAAAGACCTAGACATGTCATAAGAGGCCCTAAATTAATTTTAATCTTCCTGGGATGGCCAAAGTAGACTGCTAATGTTGATAATTCAGAAAAAGAAATTATCTGAACAAATACCAAACAGGCTGGTAGTGGCTAGATTTTTAAAATGCTATCATGATATCAACTGAGAGAGGACTGGTTACATAACCCACGCATGGATACATCCAGCTGTATGCAGGTATTAAGAAAACTGTCTATGGGGCTACACAGTGAGTCCAAGGCCAGTCTGAGCTACATAGGCGAGACCATGTCTCAAAAAAAAAAGTCTGGTACACTTATTACAAAAGAGATAGTTTCCAAAGTCGAGGGGCCTTGTTCTCCTTAAAAATAATAGATACAGAATACAGAAAAAGATACAGATAAGCTTAACTTTTCAGAATTTCACTGGGATAATGGTGAGACTGATCGTCAACAAAGAAGGAATTCCTCTTGTCTAAAAGGAATTTTTCTCTAATTTGCTCTGTGGTACCAAAAACTAGGGGCAATTATTTCTGCAGAGAATTACCAGGGACCTGGATTTTAGCTGCAATCTACATGGGTCTGCTGAAGCCAGAGCATGAGACAGAACTAGAAGGAGTCTGGCTTTCAAAAGGTTAGAGCCAAAACAATTTGTAAAACAAAATCCACAGGTAAAAGAGAAGCAAGCCATTCTTAAACTGCTCACCAGCCAGGACTGACTTCTCACAGACTTTGGGTTCCCATGGGACAATTCACCCTGTTCTTATACATCTTGCCCAAGAAGCCAAGTCCAGTCACTTCACTATCTCGTAAGATAGGAACATGGTTAGAACTACCTCTGAGCTACATTTTCTGTGACAGGAAGTTTAATAAAAGAACAGTAACCTATCTTCACGGCCAGTACTAACAAAGACCACTTGGGTAAAGGTGTGAAAAAATGTCCTTATTACATCAAGAATATATTACAGGCACACAAGCTTAAATATCACATGGTTTCTCTTATATGAGAAACTCAAAATATAAATAAGGACCAAGATAAAAGATAGATAATAAGAAACAGAGAGCTAGATATTGAACAAAAGGGAAGAAGACCAAGAGATGGAGGGTGGTGGAGAGGGGAGGGGAAAGGGATTGAAAAAAACATTAAGACGTATTACGTACATGTACCAACTCCCCATGAGGAATATAATCATTATGTACTGCAAACATGTACCAATAACAATATAAGTTTACAAAGAAAGAATACATATTTCATCTAGCCCTACCCATTTGTTTCTGTCAAAATTCAACACCCACCCCTAACAGCTAACCTCATTTAGTAAGAAATAGTCAAAAAAAAATCTGGATCAACGGTCAGAAACAGTTAATTTGTGACGAGGTCACAGCATTTCTTCTGGAAAGACCATCACCAAGCAGAAGAAATAAGGATGTGATCCCTGTTCTTACCGTTTCATTTGCTTCCTGCTGCTTTTCACCAAAATCTCTGATCAACTTCTTCTTCTCCTCTACAAAAAATAGACAAATTTCACTCATTACTGCTTCCATACATTTGTAGACACCATTCCCTCTGTCTAGGATAACACTCCTCCTTGGCAGTGACAGTAAAAATCCCTAAAAGGCACCTGGAAATGCACAGGGCTTTGCTATCACAATGACTGTGGAGAAGCGCATTATTGCATACTGGCACCTAGGACCCATCGAACAAGCATACTCAAGCTCAGAACAGTCCTGTGCAGCAATTATTCGTTTCCAAAGCCAATAATATCCCAACTAAAAAACACTACAGGTCTAACTTAATCATTCTTAACCTTTTCTCATACCTCATCCTGATGGACCAGCCAGGCATTCTTGCATCAGTAAGGACGTTTACCAGTACTGATTCCCTGAAATCTGTTCACATTTTCGCCCCCATGGTGAGTCATTTCTATATTAACCCTCAATCACTGCCTTCTGCTAAACAAACTCAAAATCCACCTCCTCTGCTTGCTGGCACGGTGCCAGTCTCTCCCTGGTGGGGGTGGGGGTGATGATTTGCACACTATTAGACTCATTCTCCTTTCAGTTCTCTTTTAGCCCTTCCCATGCCATTTTGGTACTGTCTTTAATGCCTAAAAATTACTAATCTCCTCTTTTAACAATATAGGACAGGGTTCAGCCTCAAAGCAATAACATCTAACCAGAGAAGTAATATTTTGCCTTCACTGTATTTTTTTCTCATCATTTGGAATACAGTTTTCTATTTAAAATATGGTATCAAATTTCCAAGTAACTTTATATATTAGGTAAATGTGTTTTACGTGAATAAATTGATATAGAGAAATGATTAACAGTTAAAATGGCACTGAATGTGGCAAAAGTTATGAAGGTATTTTGAATGCTGTCACCTGGTAAACATCTGTATGAGACCCAATTATTTCCCTTTTAAGTATCTTCCCCAAAGAATTAAAGACATCCTATTTTAGTGATACATAAATACTCATGTTTGTATTAGCATAATTCACAATAGCTAAATCTTGGAAGTGGCCTATATGCCCATCAATGGATGAATGAATAAAAAAAAATGTATTTTATACACAATGGAGTACTACTCTATTATAAAGAAGGATAAACTTCAGTTATGTGTAGGAAAATGGGTGCACCTTAGGATTGTAATGTGAAGTGAAATAAATCAGACATCCAAGCTTATATGTCACATGGTTTCTCTTAGATGAGAAACCAAATATAAATAAAGAGCAAAATAAAAGACTGATAACAAGGGGAAAAACACATCTGTGTTAGGAGAGAGCCCTGCTTAGGCAGACACCTCTTTGAGATCTGACCTCCTTCCTCAGCTATAACCAATAGCTGCCTCAGATAAATAGCAGTAGGAAGCAGATCACCCCTTCATATCTATCAAGCAGAAATCAGCCCCATTTATGAGGAGCTTAATACACACACACACACACACACACACACACACACACACACACACTCAAATGAATGGTATCCCTGGAAATCTACACATAATCTACTTCTCAGCACAAAGTTACCATTGCTTACAATGTTTCTTGAACTCTCATCTTTGGTAATTACTTTCACAGTCTGGGGAGACAGTCTTTCATCTGTTTTTATTTTTAATTTTGGCAAAGAACATATAAAATTTACCATTTTTGCTATTTTAAAGAATACAGTTCAGTGGCATTAAGTACATGCACACTGCTATGAAATCATCACCAGGATTCATTTTCAGAAGTTGTTCATTTAAAACTGAAACCCCACAGCCACTAAACACCATAACCCATTCTATGAATTTTACTACTCTAGGTACACCATATAAGTAAGATCACATATTTATTCTGTGTTTGGCTGATTTCATTTTGCATGTCTTCAAGGTTCATCCATGCTGTAGCACAAATAGGAACAGGGACTTTCAAAGCTATGTGTTTTTCATTCAATGTGATGCCTAATTGTAAGCCAGTGCTTCTATCTACTGAGGGAAGAGCAATCTTTTCCGATGCCAAAGAAAACAGATAAGGTGGGCTTATGGAAAGATGGCATGTGGGGATTCTATATGCTGTCCTGATATTTTTTTTGTTTTGTTTTTGTGGTCCTGGGAAATGAACCCAGGACCTTATATGTGCTAGGCAAGTGCTCTACCACTGAGCTGCATCCTAAGCTCTCCTAAGATATTTGTGGATCATTTTGTCTACCCTGATTTTCATGTTAAGCCCCAACTTTTGAACCTAACCCCATGTAGGATGCAACGTTAACTAAATGTTTATATGGATTCACTGTTAATCACAACAGCATTTAATATGTCAGTTGTCTACTGCTTTTCACGTGGTCACAATCATTTTGGATGTGTTTATTCTATGGTCTCAACTAGAGATCAAGCCCTTCTACTTTGTCCACAACTTCTAGATTTTTACAACTCTTACAAATGTTACAACTACTTCTATAGAGCTGTATCATAATTTTATAATAAGTTGTCACAAAAGTCCTCAGTGTCCTCATCCCTGTGAAAAAATGGTGCATCTCCAAACTCGCACACACCCACTCCTGATCCATGCCAGTCAGTATGAAGCAGCGCTGTACAACTGTATGAATTCCCTTCCTAGCTCACATTTTTCTACAACTTAGTTCTAAGATCTCCTCTTTCATTCTCCCTTTGTTAAAAGTATGAAGAAGCTGCATTCTCAATAGGCAAATTCTAGAATGACTCTAGGACAGCAACTATATCTTTCACTGACTTCCCCACATAATTATTTTATTCTGTCTTTTGGGGGTTGGAATATTCTACGTTTTACCTGATCTCTCTCTCACACACACACACACACACACACACACACACACACACATCCTTCTATGGGTACTCTACAGCTTATATACTTTTAAAAGAAATATGCTTTCTTTGAAAATAATCTGAAAATGTTCACATTTATGAAATCCTTTTGTTAAGGGAAATGTAAAATGACTGCAGGCACTAGCACCATCCCAAGATAAGGAAATGCCCGCAGCATTTCTTAACTGCAATCCCCCCCCAGTTGAATTGGGCCAGATGTCCAAACTAAAATAACAATTACCATCCCTTGCTAGCAAAAATACGCATAGACCGAAGCCTTCTGTAAATCACATTGATAGAGAAAAGTTTTAAGTAGCTTAGTAGACTGAATATGAAGGTAATTGCAGAAGCAAAGTAAGTAATGTATTCCTTTAAGATTTGCTTTTCCTGTAACTCTTGATGTTTAAGGTGTTAACCAGTAATTTAATTATACATAACATTTTAACCTAAAAAAGTTGCAAATGCCTAAGTGAATTTACAATGTATATGTGCTTATTTTGTGTGTGTGACTTGTAGGTAGGAACCGGAATTGTATTTACACATCAAAGACCACTAGGGATGAGATAATGACTAACAAAAAGTATAAAGAGAAGAGACTGACAAAAGAGGGGGGGGAACCTCTGACCAGACCAGTTTCTGGCAGTCCCGCCAGCTTGCAAGTAAACTTTTATTTTTTTACCCAAACTCTGTGTCTCGGAGTATTTCTCTCCAAGATTTCCAGAACACTTTATGGACTTCTAAGATTTAAATCGAAAAGCAGCCTTTGAAATCATTCCTTCTCATGATAAAGCCAGGAAGGCAAATATTTATCAAGCTTCCAAAGAGGCTGATCTAGTGGCCTGGGGTGGTGGCACAGGACTGTAATCCCAGCACTTGGGAGGCTGAGGCAGGAGGATTGTCACAAGTTCAAGGCTAGCCTGACCTATACAGGAAGACCCCAACTCAAAAAACCAAAACAAACAAACAAAAAAACAAAGAAGCTGACCTTTATTCAACTGAAAGGGATCAATACCTGCCTCTAGACTTGGAAACCAAGGAACATTAGAGATGGAAGGAACCATGAAGATCATCTAGTTCAGTGACGGCAAACCTTTCAGAGCTTTCAATGATACAAACAGCCTGTTTCATACATTCACCACCACTGATCTAGTCAAACCTCATTTTGCTGCTATAGAAACTAGAGCCCAGAGAAGCTCAGTGCCTCCCCCAAGGCCACACCAGGAGTAAATGTATGGCAATGCTGGTCATAGGATGCAAGCCTCCTGACTCTCAATGCTTCTGTGCATCATAAAACACAACACAGGGGGCCGGGGATTTAGCTCAGTGGTTCCACTGCCGGCCTCGCAAGCTAAGGACCCGAGTTTGATCCCCAGTACCAAAAAAAAAAACCACAACAGAGGGAAGTTTCTGCACTCCTAGCATGTAGCCTTTAGCAACTGGTAAATATGTTTTTTTAGAATTAATGCTACAATCAACACAAAATAACAGTGCTGTCTAGGGTGGAACAGGCATCAGAAACAAGAATGAAGCACTCCAGAACCACCATCCCCAAGCAGAAGCCTGCCCAAACCTCTCATGTTGAGGGGACTCACCAAGACTGCCTCCTTTGGTAATCTGAGTGGATGGTGATGGCACAATCTCCCAAGTATGAAATAAAATGGAAACAGCCAGCTCTGAAACACAGAGCTAGAGAAAGCCTACCTCAACATTCCACCTGGGCTGGGCACTCAATTGCTTTTGGGGGTTTGAATTACCAGCCTAAGAATGAATCCTCTGGCTGGGCCCATGAGCACTGTATTGTACTAACTACAGTTAGACCAGGATCTTAAAGATGTGGTTCATTTAATTTTGGCGCCCCACTGTGGGCATTCCTGTAACCAGCAGCCTCACTTTTCAGATTAACAACTTGATCTCAGCACACTAGTTAAAACCATCAGATCCCTCTAAAAACCATTTCCTCAACTGTAAATAGGGAATATAATAGTACTAGTTATAATAGTAAGGTTTTAATAACCAGGAGCTACGATTATTTTTTATTTTTAAGTGATGCTGGGGTGGAACCCAGGGTCTTCTGCTTCTGCTTGGCAAGTCTTCTACCACCAAGCTTTATCCTCAGCCCCCTACCACTGTTTTCAAAACCAAATCCTTAGGAAGACCCAGGAACAAAAACAAAATTAAAAGATTATAAACAAGAACTGGAATAATTAAAATTCTACAGTCTGCTGCATACAGTACTGCACAGTGATGATTTTTTTCTGGCTCACAAAATAAGGTGATCTTATGTAGAGATACTGAGATTTAAGTGAATTAAAATGGAAATTTTTCAATAATTTTATCACATACCATATTCTGATATACTGAGAAACATCCTCCAGTACTATAAAACCAAAACTACAAATCATGACTATGGGCACTTAACATTAGTTAGATTAAGCAATTAAAACACTGAGGTATCTGCAGAAACCTCTTCAAATGGTGCAAAACAATGATCAGAAATTATGTCTCAAGGGGCCAGGGATTTAGCTCAGTGGTTCCACCTCTTGTGTTGCATGCACAAGGTCCCAAGTTCGATCCCCAGTACCCACCCCCGAAAGAAAGAAAGAAAGAAAGAAAGAAAGAAAGAAAGAAAGAAAGAAAGAAAATATGGTGTATGTGCTTAATATAATATTCAGTAGATTAATAATTACAGTATATTGTAATGGACTATCACTGCTAAAAAACTTCCTAAAATAGGACACTTTGTTATTCCTCAAAGGCAGAAACTGAATGTAGACTGTACTTTTGAGAAATAAATATCTTTTGTTTTTATTGCTTTAATAGATATATAAATTTTAAGAGTACTAAAAATGTAGCCAGGCATGGTGGTGGATGCCTGTAATCCCTGAACTCTGGGAAGCTGAGGCAGGAGGACAGCAAGTTTGAGCCCAGCCTGGGTAACTCAGTGACTTAGCATGAGACTGTCTCACAATAAAAAAATTTAAAAAGGACTGGGGATGTTGGCTCACTGCCAAGGCCCTAGTTCAATCCCCAGTGCCTCAAAACAATAACAAAAAACCAAGCTGCTTGTCAAAAGTTTCTTATTCTACAGGTCTGGGGTCTGAGAATCTGCATTTCTTACAAATTCCCAGGTGGTAAGGGCACTGCTGGTTTATGGACCACATTTTGAAACCACTGTTCTAGTGAAAAGAAGACAAATAATATGAATATCAGAAACATGTAAACTGTTTAATAGGTTAGAAAATAAGTGCCCTGAGGAAAAAAAAGTAAAATAAGGTAAGAGTAGTTTTTTAGGGAAATGGGAAGAAAATGTTTAAATGAGAAGGAGAATGAGAGGAGGGAGGAGGAAAGGAAAGAAGGGACAAGAAAAAAAGAGAAAATCTTACTTTTCAATTAAATAAAATATCAAATTTTCCATGGACTAATAATGTTGGCTAATAGCTCTTACTATCGTCAGGCAGTATTGTAATTTTTTTTTTTTTTTGAGACAAGGTCTCACTCTAATTCAGGCTGGGCTCGAACTCGCGCTGCCTACCACACTCGGCTTGGCAGTATTCTAAGGGCTTTCCATATATTTACTAATTTATTTCTCACAGAAACCCTATAAAGTTAGATGGTATGATTTTTTTCACATTTTGCAGGAGAAACTAGTTTGGTTAAAACAACTTACAAACGATTACAGTGCTGTGGACTCATGTATTTATTTCATTTGGTTAAGAAATTACATAGTTTACCTATCTTAAATCTTCATTCATATTTCTTCTTATTAAAAAAAAAAAGGTAACTGACAGGGTCACACAACTACCAAGAAGTGGACTTAACCCAATCAGCCTGGCTCTAGCATTCTTACTTTTAAGTACAGTATTACTATAGTGCCTCTCAATTCATATTAATATGTTCTTCATAAACGTTATTTTTAATGGAAGAGGAACCATCTTATGAGGCTAGCATTGACATACACCATAATCTCTATTCTACAGGTACCTGTGATGTTCTCATCCAAAACCCAAACAAGTCTGCTTCTCTCTTTTTGTGGCGATAACTGAGCTACATCTCCAACCCTTTTTATTTTTTTAAACAGGGTCTCACTAAGTTGCCCAGGTTTGTATTTCTTATTTAAGTTCACTGTTCACTCAATTGACCAAGTGAGAAAATGCAGAAATTATTTCCTCCTCATGCCTCATATCCAGTCTGGTTAATTTCTGCTTCAGAATCACTTCCAAAGACTCATTCTTTAGATTTCCATGTTACTTGAGTGACTGCCACCAAGGCTCCCAACACAGCCCCCTACAGCCACTATCATATCCTCTATCTGGCCATCAGAGCCCTCTTATAATTAAAGTCCATATTAATCAGCTGCTTGAATTTCTTTACTGATCCTCCTTGTCAAGTCCAAATGTCTTAATGTGACATTTAGGGTCCTCCACAATCTGGCTGTTTCACTTTCCCACATACAGGCTACGTTCCACAGTTGGGAATTTTCAGTTTCTTGTTCCTTCCTTGCCTCTTCCCATTTCCCCTCTATCTAGCAAACTCCTATTCAACCAGCCTCTAAAGCCATGATTCTTGTTCGGCTGGTGTAATCCCAGCACTGGGGAAGCTGAAGCTAAGAGGACTGTTACGAGTTTGAGGCCAGCCTGTGGTACACAATGATTTCAAGACCAGCCTGGACTACACAGCGAGACCCTGTCTCGACAAACAAATAGCTATGATTCTTTTTTTTTTTTTTACTACAAATCCTTTCTTCAACTGGTGAAAACTATGAATCTCTCTTGAAAACAATAAGTACGACAAAACACAGATCTCTAAAAGAAACCCATTCTACTGAAATACAGTACAGCAAATTTAAAAATTCCTATGCTCTTCCTGCCACGGGGGTGTAGAGGGGAGGCGAGGAAAAGAGTACATAGGGGGCCCGGGCGGATCCCAGGGAGAAGACAACCTGACGTGCATCCTACAGCCCGTCCCCAGTTCACCCTAAGTGGCAGCAAGGAAAACCTTGGCGCCAGGACCCTGCCAGTCCTCGCGGGCGCATCTGAGGATGAGCAGCAGGGAACAGGGAATGGAGGCTCTCGCTCTCAAATGCACAGTGTCGAGTTCCCCACCGCCGGTCCCGCCCCCGCCTCACCGGTCCCGGCGGTCCCCAGCAGCCGCTCGGGCACCCCCAGTAGGTCTTCATGGAGGCCGCGGAAGATCTCGTGCAGCTTCTCAAAATGCTCCGAGGAGGCGGCGGAGGCGGCCATGGCGCAGCCGTCGAGAATGTGGGCGCTGGACCCCTTCCTCGGCCAGCGGTCACCCGCCCAGGCCCGAAGCCATCACGGCTACTGCCGCGCCGCCCTCGCCCCGAACGAGGCGCTTCCGGGGTCGCGGCGGGGTCCTCGGAGCGGAACGTACACCCGCCAGTCGGTTCCTGTGGGAGCGCCGGGCGCGGAAGCCTGACGGGAAACTGTGTGGGCCATGCTGCCCGGGCAGCGCCGAAGCGGGGGCTGCGCCGCGCCCGGGCAAGCGGCAGTGCGCGGCCTGGAGATGTCGGGCCCAGGGTAGGGAAGGCGCCGCCGTGGACTGTCCGAGGGGACCCGCGAGACGGGCAGCTTGTCCGCTACCTCCGGGACCCGCCGGCCGGCGAGGGGCGGGCTGTGCAGTGCATGCCGGGGCTTGTAGTCAGGCGAGGACTCCCCAACGCGAGCTGGGCCAGGTAGGCTGTGTGGGGTGTCACGTGTGCCCAGACGTCATCTTCGCTGGCTTGGATTTTTTCTGGCTGGGCTTCCTCAGCTGTCATCCTAACCGTTCGTCTTCAGCTCTGAATGATGGACGGACCGGGCTCCCGCCTACCCTCAGGCTGCTGCACAGAGCACTTTTACTGGGGAGGTCAAGGAGCCAAGGTCACACGGTTTTGGAAGTGGAACCGTGGCTGTGTGACCCCCAAATACCACTCAGCCTCTAGCGGCCTGCCATTGAGTGCAGTGGATTGCCTCGTGCATTCCTTTACAACAGATGTTTAAGAATTGGTATTCTGCAGGGCTTTAAGCATATATTTGTTTCTGTTTTATTTTGTTTTGAACATATATTGGTGAACAAAACAGATTGACTCTGTGGCCTTGGATAATTTATAATCTGGTGAGGAAGGTGGACACGGCTTCATCAAGTATAATCTCCTGCAAAATGTAACATATTAACAGTGATAAAGTCCTCTACTTCATAGGTGTAAATTCCTGTACACACTGGTTACATGGTTTGCCTAAGAAGCCTATTCTCAAATGTTTACTTGGGAGCCTAATATTTAAACTGCCTACAAGTATTAAAAGGCATACATATTTAAAAAATACATGGGGCTGGGATTGTAGCTTAGTGATACAGCGCGGCATGCATGAGGCCCTCTGTTTTATCTCCAGAACCTCAAAAAGAGAAAAAGGAAAAGGGGGGGGGAATATACACGAATGCATAGGGGGAAATGCTTTGGATTTTATTTATTGGGCCTTTATCTTTTTAGATTGTGTTCACTGACAGTTCATACCTGTAATCCCAGCACTCTGGGAGCCTGAGGCAGGACAACCACAAGTTCAAGCCCAACATAGACATCTTAGTGACTTAACAAGACCTTGTCTCAAAATAAAAAAATAACAAAAGGGCTGGGGATCTAGCTCGATGCATAGGCCCTAGGTTCAATCCCCAATACCAAAGAAAAAAAATCGGGTAAAGTATTCAGTTATTCAATTGCACTATTATAGAAATTTTCCAATTTTCCCATAAAATGACTACCTCTAAAATATAGCTTACTGGCCAAAACAGGTCCAACAAAGATTATTTACAAATATAAGTGAAAACTGGTCCTATAACTACTTTCCCTACCAAAGTGTAATTGTCAGTCCAAGAAAATCACAAACTCTCTTAGAATAACATACTCCAAACAAGGGATGGGAACATTACCAATTCCTCAGACTTCCTTTGGCAGCATTACACTAGATCAAAGTTTGACAAATAAAGTATAGAGATCATTTTATCTCTCCCCTCCAACCCCCGGTGCTGGGGATGGTACTCAGAGCCTCATGCATGCTCTAATGAGACAGATTTGGGTGTATTGGCTGGGGAAGTAGACATGACCTGTTAATTACAAGGTCCCAGAACACATGGACAGAACAGTTCCCAAAGCCTTGCACATGTTCTTCTCCTGAGAACTCGAGCAGGTTTTCAATAGGACGGCCTAGACCTGACATCAGCCTGAGGCGTGAGATCCCAGTACCACCTCTCAGAACCAGTATTTAGAGTTCTCACGGGTTTGCTTGAGATTTGGACGGCATAAAAGGAGAGATGCCACAAAGAGCTTGCTAGTGTGACATTCCTCGTGATATCCTGCCCTGTGGCCACCAGGGCATATGTGCTTTTATCTTGCCTTTCCCTCTTATTCAGCCCAAGCTCACTCTGCAGAGCCAGTTTCTCATTCTTCACTTTTAGTTTCTCAAATAAACTTTGCTACTGTTTTTCGCTTGTTTCATCCAATTCTTTGAGATAAGAGCCTGGAAACCAACTCCAAAAGGAGATGCAAGCACCACAAAACCAAGTAATGTTTATTTGGTGAGCACTTTTAGAACACTACCTGGTAACACTACCATTGAGCTACACTACCAGCTACTAATTTGACATTTTTAATCGTCAGGATAATAGAAGGAAATACCCCGAAAAACTATTAAGCAGATTGCAATTAGCACTATCAGTCCTTAAGATAATTTTTCTAAATACAGAATTGGAATTTTTGTTTTTGTATTTTGTTTTTCCCAGCCACGTTCATTGGTTAAGACAAAGCCTCATCAGTCTTGTTAACTAGGATGCTGATCTTCAGTTCTATGGCTGTATATTCCTGCCTTTTTTCTTCATCCTTAACTAGTCCCCTGTCACACATTATTTCCCAGGATTTTTCTTCTTCAATTTCTTCCCTGCTTCTCCTGTGCTTCTTGGTGGGTCGTTGCCAACATCTACAGAATCTGTTTCACTTGACAGCTGTCCTCATTTGTATCAAAAACAGGATGACACTGGTTTACTGGTTTGTTCAATCTATTGTTAACCTGCACTAGGGTGTGGTTTAATATTGTTCCTTTGTGGCTGTGATATTTAATTATTGTGTCAATTTGAGCAAGAAATGCCCAACTGATTGGCTTAGCATAGTTCTGGGTGTGACTGAATGGATTTACTGAAGATGGATGACCCACCCTGGGTACGAGATGCACTAACCAATAAACTTGTAACCTGTATGGAATAAAAAGGGGAAAGAAAGAGGCTCACTTGTTTCTTTGAGAGGAGCTCATCTTTGTCTTTGCCTTAGACACCTGTCTCCTGGCTTCCAGCACAGACCCTTTGGCTTCCTGATACAGACTCACATGGGACACTACAGTGAGCTCCAAGCCTTCAACTTTTGACTGGATCCTTGGGATCTCCAGGGCACAGACAGCCCTTTTGCACTCTTCCATACCTGACTCTGTAGGCAGCCACTGTAAGCCTACCTTGTAATCCGTGTGTGTGTGTGTGTGTGTGTGTGTGTATGTGTGTATATTTTACATTAAATGTTTCTCTAGTGAGCACTGACTGATAATAGTAGCTACTGTGAATTTTGTGAAAATCCAAACTGCATGAATACACAGGAAGAAACACAAATATATACAATGACAATGACTGAAAAGCTTTCCATTTCCTCTTCTGGGTTGTTTTTTTAAGACAGGGTCTTACTATGTGGGCCAGGCTGACCTCAAACTCGTGATCCTCCTGTGTGTTGAGATTACAAGTGTGCATCACCATGCCTGGCCCTCTTGTGATTTTCTAAGAGCTGGGAGCGGTGGTGCACACCTATAATCCCAGCTACATTTTTTTTTTTTTTTGACAGGGTCTCACTATGTAGTTCAGGCTGGCCTTGAACTCCTGGCAATCCTTCTGCCTCAGCCTCCTGAGTGCTGGGATTACAGGCATGCACCACCATGCCCGGCCCCCAGCTACTTGACAGCAGGAAAACTGCAAGTTTTGAGGCCAGCCTGGGGAACTTAGTGAGACCTTGCCACAAAATTTTAAAAAAGGACTGTAGCTCAGTGGCATTTGTGAGGCCCTAGGTTTGATCGCCAGTACCACAATGAGAAAAACCCAAGGCATGAAAAGGAGGCCTCCACATGAACAGTCAGTAATCGAAGCCAGATAGCCTGTATTCATAGTACTCCTTTTATTACCTCCTTATTGGACTGAGAAAAGGCAGGAACATGACAGTTTAACTTGATTTTTACTTCTGTCCTCCCCCAAATCCCACATCTTAGAAAAGGTAGCTGTTCTGTGGTTTAGACATGGGTAAATGTCTTAGCACCAATGGCTCTAGGTTGTCAGAGCTAAGGCCAGGCCATAATCCAGATTCAGTGAAGAGTTTCCTGGAAGAATTCTGATGTTGGTGCCACGAAGTTCTGCTCTTAAAACAAGCCACTTTTTTTGTGGGGTTCAGCTGAGGCTGCAACATGGCCCCCTCTTGAAGATTTTTTTTGGTTGGAAGGAACTAAAGTGTAAAAAAAAGAGGATTGAAACTAGTCCACATTCACACACATCAACTGTGCCAGAGCTTCGATTCTCCTACACAGGAGTAAGTTCCAGAAGGAAAATAAGAGTTGTGAGCCCATATGAGGTCATCTTATTCAATGATATGGATAGAAATCCAGCAGTAGAGGAAGAAAGTGGTTCTGGACAAGTGCAAGGTGTTGAGACAAATCTGGCAATATGCTGGCATGCAACTGAATACCATCAGGCAAGGCTGGAAGGTTTTGCTTTTTGTGCTGTCTTTGGCCACCTTAGAGGAGAACCATTTTGGCAGGGAGTACTATATCAGCTGCTGCAGTCTTCTTTTGTGTCCAACTGCCACCACCTGTCAATCCACTGGGAGGCCCAGCAGGTCACAGCTGACGTCCCATAGCCGCCTTGCTACCGTCTCATTACGAGCCTGGGCTGAGACCCATGTCACACGGCAGTCACTGGAAGGGAAAGACAGGCTTGAAGAAAAGGGTTAAGAATGGAATCGGCTCTCTGCCTGGGATAGGGAATATAACAGAAAGCACCCTTGAGATCACATGTCCTCCAGGTACCAAAGCCAGTGTTTGTTCTAGATTTTCATTGTCCCTTATTACACACATTATTTTCCCATGTCTGCTGTCTCAGTTAATGTCATCATCAACCTGCTAGTCACTTAGCCTTGAAACCCAGGTTACCAAATCCTCCTGCATCCCCA